TCGGAATTATTTGCTTTGAGCTGTTTGTTACAAGATGAAAGTCCATATGAAATGAAATAATAACACAACAACAACAACAACGAAAAACGCCAGCAACAACAACATCGACCATGCCTTTAAATACCATTTTAAACGATGATCGAGTTGTTGTGTTCTGTTGTGTGTGTAGTTTTTTTTTTATTTCATTTTTTCCATTTCTGTTTTCCTCTTTGGTTCGGTTTTCTGTGGATATTTAATATCCGTTTAAGGTGTGGCCATTTCATTGGATTTAAGCGAGCAAAAAAAAAAAAAACAACTAAAACAGCGAATTATTCATGTTCACTTGCACACACTTATAAGTCTATAGACATATACATAGGATCAAAAATAATAGGAAAATTCAAACGAACAGGAATTGCAGGGAAACAAATATACAATATACAATTTTTTCTCTTTCTGCCAAATAACATATGATTATTATGATGTGGTAGCGTTCGTATGTTCGCGCTAAGTTAGCATAATAAAAACGGTTCGATGTAGAAGTACATTGTATTGAGATTGAAGCTGTTGGTGTTCGGCGATCGTTTGCCGTGCAATGCACCATGATCAGAGCAGCAACAATACTAAGTAAAGACCGATTTGATAAGAACGTGCATCGGAATGCAATCGGTGAATGATATTGCACTGAATCTCTCTCAATTCTCCATCGCTCTATCTATCTCTCGCTCTTTTATTCTTTCTTCCATTTTTCGCTATCGCAACCATACATTCACTATTCATATATCCTATAATTTTGTGTTTAACGTAAATACAGATTCCGCTCACTTAATTACATATTATTTACCACTTGAATTTCTCTTTGTTGTGGTTGCCATTTCAGTGTTTCCCCTTTTTTTTATAACTTAGTTCAATGCTATTATTTTTGTCTGTTTTACTTCGATGCATTCACCAATGCCATAGGCCTTTAGTTTGTACCAATCAGCCGATTGGTTTCATTTACAGTATTCGCGGGCCCACTATTATTGTTATTATCATCACCCGAAATTAGCAATTGCAGGTTACTCAAACGTTTTATAATTTTATGTTTCTTTCATTTTGTAGCTCGTTGTATTTCGTCTTTCTTTCTCTCTCTTCATATTCGTCTTTGTTTTCAGTGTTTTGTTCTAATATCACTGTGAATGTGGACGGGTGATGATGAAAAGTTGTCTTAAATAAAATAAAACAAAAAAATTATCAAAATGTTTCGATATTGCTGCTAATATTGTCTTGCGAAACAAACAACGACAAACAAAAACCGATGAAAAGAGAAACAACAAAGGAGGTGCACAAAATGCACATGGCACCAAGTTCAATGTTCAATGGTTTGCCACATTTCGTATGAAAAAGAAACGAAATTGCGACAATACATATTTTATTGTGATATCAACTGTTAAGAATTATTAAACAGTTTAAACAGTTTCGTTTTGTTTGTGTTCACTCAATGGTTAGTTTGCCATGTGGTTAGTTTCCTTCGCACGAATTTGATGAATGAATGAATTTTCACTGAATGCAATCACCTTCCATGGTTATGTGATATATAATTTGATTTTTTTTTTTTTTGATGGACATGTGTCCATCAAATATGAGCAAATTGTAATTTAAAATCACTTTAACCAATGAAATTAACTTGATTCTTTCAAGCAAAACACAATTATATGCACAGACCATTGCAGGTCTTAAATTGCTGCCATCATTATGGCATCACCACAATTCAAGTGAATCGTACTCATTCATAATTTTTTTGGCTTTTTTTTACAACGCATTGTATTGCAATTTGACAATAAAATTGTTGAATGAATTTAAAATAATAATAAAAATATATAAACATATACATTGTAACAAATTTAAATTACACTATGCAAAATTTACAGTTGATTTTGCTGTTATGCGCACAACTTATTATATATAGATTGAGCGGATTTTTTTTATGACGAACCAAAAAAAGCATCAATGATACAAGCTTGGAATCGATTCATAATAAAACCATTCTTTTCTAACGAAAGCAAAGTAAAAGTAGAACAATTTCCGAACACGAATTGGAAATAAGGCAAATCCATAAAGCTTTATCGAATCACTGACTATATCAATGCATTGTACGATTTTTTTTTCTTAATATTTCCAGTTCAAATAGTAAATTGAGAGATTACCATTCTCTATGATTATTTTATTAATTTTCTTAGCGAATCAAATAGTTACACAACAGTTTATTCCTTTGTTTTTGAAGATGACGAAAAAAGAGGATCATGAACACATTATAGAAGATTTGTCATGAATGAAAAATTGTCCTTTGTTTTTCGTCTTGATAAAGTTACGTAAACTTAACATTCATTTAACATAAGCTCATAAAAAAGAATTGAAAGAAAAAAACAAATGAATAAAAATGAAGTAATATATGCAAGACGGAAATGTTACGTATGAAATTTGAATCTGGCATCGTTTTGGAATCATGATGATTCAAATAAACGAAAATCGCTCGAAGGATGTGACTAGTCTTCATTAAAGCAAATGCACAACCTACACAAAACTCAATCAAAAACTTGAAAAAAAGAGAAAAAAATTGAAAACAAAAAAATTCACAAGAATAAAGACCATAACGAAATTGCACGAAAAGCAGGTAAGAAGCACGAGGAGAAGATAACACAATGCAACGAAATGAGAGAGATAGAGAGAGAAACCACATCGAAAATGAAATCGCCGTGTAATCAAATGAACAGGAATTCGATATGTGAGTGCATTTTGAATACATATTATATTTATTTTTCGCTCATTTTACGGTGGACTAAAATACGAATGCACTATAGAACGTAACAGAATCATAGCGTCGATTTAGCAATATCTGTTATCCTCGAACGATGCACACGAGTTATTTATGAACGCACACCAATGAATTTTCCCAATAGAAACAGATAAACGCGACTACATGCTTAAGTAATATTCACCCGAAAAAATAAGAAATGCAAATTGCAAAATTGGTTTTTCTCTCTTTCTCTGATAGAGGCACTATGCTCGCTTCATTTTGTTGATATTTTGTGCATATTGCTGGTGCCCATATTAGCAGCCGATATCAAGAATTTCACAAATTATACGACACACGATGTCTGCGGGATATCATGAAATAAATGCATCGAAATAAAATTAGTTCCAACGCAATTACTGCATTTCAATAAATTGTTCCGTTGATAATTTATTGATAAATATTCTTGCTGATTGTTATTTTGTTTGCCTCAATTTTATTCTGAATGATTGTTTCTTCGTTGTTGTTGTTTTTTTTTTGTTCCCGTGCCTTTTTTCTCTCTTTCGCTCGGCATTGGCCGTTCAGAATTTGTCGGCTTAAAAGCTATTTTCTGGGCCGTTCTTTGGGCCGCTCATTCTTTCAACAGAGTCAATTATTCTATTGAGACGGAGTCACCTTTTTGAATGCAAAACGTTGAATGTACATTGGCATAATGTAATATCGAACGTCCAAATCACAAATTTGTTTTAGATCTATCGATATAATCGGCAGTTTGTTGTATTGAAAATGTTCTGTTCCGAAATGTGCATGTGGAAATGCGGCGTAGAAAATTCCTTCATTCAATTTGCACACGATTTTAATTCGACATTTACATCATAAGCTCATCAAATGTCGAATCCGATTGTGCAACCAATGAGCGACAAACAGCATAAGAAATGTGTCTATCGTGGCAGGCGTGTCTCTCATTAATATACCATATTATGTTGTCCGTTCACTCTGGCTATTCTCGACTCGTTGAACGGTTTTTTTTTTCTCGTCTTCTTCTATACATTTTTTTCTCCTCTTTTCTGCGTCATGGTAAGATGAATGGTTTAAAAAGGACAAACAACGAATCAAACATGCAAAACAGTGGAAACTTAAATTGTGGAAACCACCGGGCGACATGACAAAATCAGCAACGGCAGCACTGACCAAAATGTAAAGACTGGCAAGTAAACATGCAATTACATTTACACGTTAATACTTGCACATTCGCTGTTCGTCTTTGGTACGCATTCATTTCATTCGTCGCTCAACGTTCAAATGGTTTCTTTTTTATTCTCTATTGTGTTGCACTCTTCATTTTCTATATTTTCTCTCCCTCTCTATCTTCGCCTTCTCTTTTTATTTCTTCTTGTTTGTGTGTTGGCTGCTTGTTTTCTTCCTTTTTTTTTAGATGAGTGTGCGGTGAAACGAAGCAGAACCTATTCGCGTGTTTAGTTGTCGGGTATCAATTTGCACGTAAAACGAATCGCGTAGGTCAGCCTATGTCCATGCATAAATTGGTATTTAGCACAGCGCAATTGCATTTGTTTTTTGTTGTTGTTGTTGTTCGTTTCTATTTTATTTTTACTCGCTTTCTTCACGTTCAAAGAAAATGGTATAGCTAATGATTGGTGCAATACATAATCTGCCATTTCACTATACACCACAGCATTTCATTTGGTGAATATATCCGTTGAATTGGCCCAAGCTGCGCACACAACCATTTTAAAGTCGATGTGTGATGTGTACATGAGTAATTGCGTGCCTATTTGATGATGGCCGCATGACAAATAAAGTATGAAGCCATCGCCGACCGACAACCACGACGACGACGACGGAAGAAACAAATGGAAATAATTTTTTGACGGCCATACATTTCATAAAGAACAAAAACGAACACTTTAGTTGGGGCTTATGCAATTCATTCGCCGGTCGCTCGTTGTATAGCGTGCAATGGATTTATAATTATTACCTCAACACAACAAATTATGCATACCAACCAATTCTTCTGTTGAAAATCTACAAAAAAAAGTGCATGACAATAACCAAACAGAAATGTAACATTTGAATCATATTTCTTGGTGCTTGGCATATTACGCACGTCATAACTACTTAAAGTAATAGTATTGGACTTTCTCTTCCTTTTTCCCGCTTTGTAACACAGTCAGTCCATATGCTCTTGCAAAAGAAAAAATGAAAAAAAGAAAAAAAAAGTTGAACGAAATGGTTTTCCTCCAAAAAGGTCAATTTAAATTATTATTCAACGTTCAGGCTTGACATATAATAGGATTTTCTGAATCGATTTTTGTATTCGTCGCATGAGTTGCAAATTTTTGGATTATTTCTCTGTAAAACTTAAAAATTATATCGCTGGCATGTCGACATTTTATCACTGCATCATTATATTGACCGATTGTAAATCGTCCGGTTGTGTAAACGGCAACGACATTCCGATTTATGCTTTCAAATACAAATGTTAGACTTGCAACAGCATGTTCGCAAACTAATTGATCGGGATCCAATACTAGTTCATTGTCGCTATTAATTGCACAATGTACACCAGCCAAAAGTGATTTCATTGATAATCCACTATTTAAAAGTGCCAAACAGGAAGCATTCACCGCACAGGCAAGCAACTGCAATAAGAAAGTAGCCAAATATAGGTTAGAATATTATTTCTTCAAAATCACTTAATAAAATATCACTTACACCGCCAGCATTTTCCATTTCATGGATTTGCAAAAATATCGATGATCTTGGATAGAGTACAGTGAGGAGCGCCGATTCACAAGTGTCTCGGATGATTTTTTCGCGTAACTTATCGGCAATACTGGGTAGACCGGATTTTGAGCGATAGTACACCTCCACATGAGCCTTGTCAATTTGTAGATTGTGCAATTTCACTTCCATGGGACCGCTTACAGTTACTGTCACCGCCGTATCCCCTAAAATAATTTTGAAATAGCTCATTTCTCCTCGGTATTTTATGATTAAAATAGTTTACCTTGTGTTAGCATTGCTGAACCATCGGATCGTGTATGAGGATTTAATCGGCAATTCATAGGACGTAATAAAACATCACTATATTCGGTTGGGTTCGTATCTATTTCCATAGTCACTTTTATTGTTTGTCTTTTTTGTTTCGAATACCGCCGAATAGAATATTATTGGCAATTTGTTCTTTTCTATACGTTAGCATCAAAAGATACAAGTAAATAAAGCATGTTTATTGAATTGAATTGTCACAATGAAACTTCAGAATTCGAAGCGAATTCATGGCGAATTTACACTACCGCCACAACGTAAAGCTCCGAAAATATATATTGAATGAATTAAACAGTGCCATCTGTTAATCGATAACCATATCTTTATATCGGTTGTTCGGTGAAAACAAAACAAAATACGATGGTGGATTGACAGATTAAAACATGCACTGACATTTCACAACACGACTGTTCAACAACAAAGAGTAAGCAACAACCGAATTCGCAGAAACACCGATACAATTTTCGGTGTGCACAATAAACAATTTCACAAATTTATTAAATATCATCGATTCGTTTTATTGATTTGGTTTCACGTTGAGTTTCGTTTGGTTATTTTTTTTTGCGGGTGCAAAAAAGAAATAGATAATATGAATACACGTAAACGTAATCGGAAAATGAATGTCACAGAAATAGCAAGTACGCAACAAATTGAGTCAAAAATTTGTAGAACCAATGAAACTACACACACAGATGCGTTGGACACAGACAATTCAAGTAAGACGTTTTTTATTTCATTAGCAACTAAACGAATCGGTTGAATGGTTTTCTTAGAATATTCCGTTAAATTTCTTTGTATTTTGATAATTTACTTATTAGATGAAGATAAAATTGACACAAGCGTTGAAATAATGAACGTCGATGAAAATGATTTAGCGACTGGTTCTGCCGAACAAGTGAATGATGATGCTATGGTTAATTCCCCGGAATTAGAACAAAATTCTAGTGAGTATAATGTTTTGACATCAATTATTGATATAGATCATGAGTTTTAAAAATTATTATTGCGTAAATGAAGTTAAAATCTCAGCCATATATTATCTGGACAGAGAATGACTAATCGATTTTACTTGTTTGCATGTTTGTTTTCGAATTATGTACAAAAAATTCAATTGATATGGATTTTTCTGATCGGACGGAAAATGATGAAATATTTACCGTTTGTACGTTAAATAGTTTATTGTTTAAAAAGAATTTGACATACAATGCAAAGCACTGTTTATACATCTCAGTGTATGGTATTGGTTACTTATCCAATCAAAGTAACACTTCAATATTCGGCATCGACTTGCTGCTCTGTGCCACAATAAACCCATTGAAAAAATGTTTGGGAAGAAAATAAAGAAGAGGAATTTTCATCTCAATATTTAATTGAATGCATAGAAATTGTTTGGAAAATCTTTAACAAATATCACATAACCTTAAATATGAATTTCTCATTTGATTTATGTGTTTTTCCTTTTGTTCTTTTCAATAATCAAATTGCTTATAATCATAAAAAAACAACATTGGATTTCAAAATTCACATCGATAAATTAAAAAAAATAAATTTGATTAACATTCTGTGTACTCTATCGTTTTCTATTTATAGACTCGGGCGATCAATTGTGTCAAGAAGAAAATACTAACAGAGACGAAGAAACAGACAGACTGCAACGCGAAGTTGATATTTTGCTTGCGGCAATTTCCGAATCACAACGTCCAAGAAATGCCAATATCCGTAAATATTTAGTTACATAGATCTAAATAATTTCAATGTAACTAATTTATCATTTGCTTTATTGTTTTTAGATGACAGTGTCAGCGAAAATGTTAATGACAGCGATGCCACCATCATTATTGATACAATTGATTTTGAACACCGTTATGCTGCTTCTGCCACTGCCCAGAGAGAAGCCACAGAAGTGGCAAGTAATATTGCACCTACAGCCAGTACATCGGCACAAGCCGCAGCCAATGAGCTGCAAGCTTCAGCCAACAACAATGTCGATGGTAAAAATATTTTTGATAAAAATAAAAATCACAAAATGCTGTTATTGGCCAAATAAAATAAAATTAATCATATTGATGTTGAAATTACAGATAGCGTAGTGCTGATTGATGACACAAGTCCACGTACAGTTCGACCCACTGCAAATGATGACGAAGAAGATGTAATTTTTGTGACCGAGTCACGTGGTTCACAACGATTTCGTACGATTGCAACAATTGATTTGTGCGATACACCAGATACTTCATACACACGCCCACCAGATGCCAATCAATTGAATGAACCCGAAACGTCGTCGTCGTCGTCGTCGAACAATCAATCAAATGCCGTTGCCGCTGTCGCCGATGCTCCAGCAGCACCCAGTCACAAAACAAAGTGCCCAATTTGCTTGGAAACATATGGTTTCGATGAAATTCTCTCTACAATGTGTGGTCACTTGTACTGTGGTCCATGCATTCGAAACGTGATCAAAACGCGCAAGAAATGTCCAATGTGCAATCGAGCGCTGAAACAGAATCAAGTTCATCGACTTTTTTTCGAACCATAAAAATTGAAAACTCTCAAATGTAAATGTTAAGTAATACACTCATCCGAATGAAAGCGAACAAATCTATACAACAGAATCACTTTCTAGTTTCCTTCTGATATCAAAAAAAAAAAAAAACATTGAATAAATATTAAGTTTTGCAAAACCAAATAATGTCAGTATTAAATGATTTAATTGAAAGAAAAAAAAACATTCTGTTTCTTGAGGAGGTTGTGTCTTTATTGGAATCATTAACATTTTGATTTTGTTTCAGAATTCTGAAAAGTATGGCTATTGTATAGTTCAATTTGTTTTATGCACTCTTGTGTCATAATATCAGTGTCAATGGTTGTAATTAATTAAAATGTCAATAATAATAATAAATTCGGTCATAAAATTGGAATTATTTTCAATGTAAAATATTCAGACGCTGGTAATTAGTAAAAATGAACATAAACGTCAAACGTATGCAAAAAAAAACCGTTGAAGATATTTGAAAAATGTGCACGAATCAAAACGTATTTGATGTTTTATGTTTTCTTATAAAATAGTAATGTTCTTCGTGCATTTTTATTTGAATATAATTTCTTGACTATATACAATATTAATATTGAGAACGTCCAAGAACAAACGTAATCAGATTCGTCGTAGATAGCTCAGCTTACTTTAAATTTTTATTTTTGTTAATATACCGATTGAACTGAATATGGTATTGGTAATACATTGTCTGAGTTTTATCAGTAACTGTATGGTCGTCTCAAGCATATATAACTTACTTCGTAATATGGATCGATAACGATTTTGAGATAATTAAAAAAAAATTATCACAAAATTTGCAGCGATTAAAATGAAGAGTGGTCGCCAGACTGACCGACATTCAGTGAATTCCTCTGGCACAAATAATATCGTTTGACAGAAGCTGATCGTGGCATATTTTTTATTTATTTAAATTTATTTTTGGATGAATTAAAAATTTTAAAGAACGAAAAAAATGGCTGATTCTCAGGATACGGTAAAATGTAATGGTGACATTGAAGTTGTTGATCCAAATTGTGTGGCCGAAAAACCAGTGAAAATTACATTTCAAGATATCACATCCGCTTCTTATCTGATTAAATCAGGAATTGAATACACACCATGCACGGTAATAATAGATTTAACACAGTTCCATACATCTATTTAAAGTTCTTCAATTTAAAAAAAAATCGGATTTTTTCTATAGAAATCTAGAGCATCGTACAACAACATGGATTTATATTTGAAAAAAGATCTCCTCCAATTTACTGGAAGGTAAAACGATTATACTTTTATTTGGATTTGATTTTGATTTCTTGAGTCATAATAAACGATGCAACAACATTTTATAGTTTTTTTTAAATCAATATTTCATAAAGTAAAGTTCATTATTTCGAAATATGGCCGATTGGCTACATTCCACTTGATATTATCGATAATTCGAAATTGATTTGTAGTTTCAAAGAGCGCGGTGCACGCTATGCCTTGTTAAAATTGAGTGATGAAGAAAGGAAGAATGGAGTTATATCGGCATCATTGGGTAATCATGCACAAGGTTTGAGTTATCATGCTTATAAATTGGGTATTGCATGCACTGTGGTGATGCCAGTAACAGCGCCCATCATGAAAATTCAAAAATGTCGTAATTTCAAAGCAGAAGTCCTTGTTAATGTATGTATCAAAGACAAACCATTTGGATGATCGATTGCAATTTTATTGTATTGATTTGTATTTAAGGGAGCATCAATGGCAGAGGCAAAACGTTATGCATTATCAATATCAAAAGAGCGTGGTATGATTTATACATCGCATTTTGCTATTTCTGGTACAAATATAAATAGTTTTTCGTAATTTGAATAGGACTCACTTACATAAATGGATATGATCATCCCCACATCATATCCGGTCAAGGTACTATCGGACTGGAGATATGTGAACAAGTTCCGTATCCCGATGCTGTCGTCATTCCTGTTGGTTTGTATAGACAAATTGAACTTCATTGATTCATAATCATTGATCAAAAATCATATAACAGGAGGTGGTGGTTTGATCGCTGGAGTCGCAACTGCAGTCAAATCAATGAGTCCAACAACTAAAATTATTGTAAATATTCATTCTCTTTCAATTGCATGTCTGTTTGAAATTAACTTTGAATATTCATCATTTAGGGCGTTGAATCCGAGAAATGTCCAAGTTTTTCGAAAGCATTGGAGCGCGGTTTGGATAAAAAATAATCTCACTAGCAATTGAATAGCTTCTCGAATTTCACAATTCCTTTTTTTAGGTCAACCAATTGGTGTTAAAATTGAACCAACATTGGCCGATGGATTGGCTGTTCCAAGTAAATTTCATAAATTAATGGACAATGGAGTGAGAAATGTCTAAATATTTATTGAATTTCAGTGGTTGGATTTAACAGTTTCAAAACGGCTCGTTCATTGATAGACAAAATGATTGTTGTGAAAGAAGAGTGGATTGCTTTAGCTATACTTCGTCTTGTGGAGCAAGAAAAAAGTAATTTTATTTTGTCTCAGCATATGTAAAATGTACATTTATGGATATTGATTTATTTTCAAAACAAAAAATCTTTATTTTCAGTGGTCGTGGAAGGTGCAGTACATGAAGTTGAACATTATCACTTCACATATCTACTCTGAGTGTTCACAAATTGTTTTTACTTGAAAAATATTCTGTTGTTTTTTTCTTAAATAGGCGCTGGGGCAGCCGGTTTAGCTGCAATATTGGCAGGTAAAAATATTAGCCATAAATTAAAATATTTCAAATAAAATCGTTATTCTTTTTTTTTTTTACTTTGCAGGCGAGTTGAACGAATTCGAAAATAAAAAGTAATTAAAAATTATTCGAATTCATGGCATTTGATATAATCTTATTGTGCTTTGTTTATTTCATAATTTAGAGTTGTGTTGCTTTTGTGTGGTGGAAATATTGATACCACAACATTTGGGCGATGTCTAGAACGAGGCCTAGCATCTGAAGGTCGTCTTCTGAGGTTTGGCAACTTTCTCCAAACGAAATTCAAATATCAAAATACTCGGTTTTTTTTTAATTGTCCAACAGATTCAACGTTACATTGGATGATTGTCCGGGTGGCATAGCACAATTGTGTAGACTCTTGGCAAATATTGGTGTAACGATTAAAGATATAATGCACGAACGGGCTTGGCTCAAAGATATTTACAGCGTTGAGGTAATAAGTCTTTGCGTTTTTTTTTAAATTAAGAATTGAAGATTTTATTGGGAGGCTATTTGCAGGTTAAAGTAGTATGCGAAACAAGAGATTGGGCACATGCACAAGAACTTCGAAGTGTTTTGCATGAGAATTATCGATTCGTTGTTTTCAATGATACTCCATTGGCTTTATCAAGTGAAACAGCAACACCGCAATAAGTTCACATTGCACCATTTTATATCGAAATTTTTATATATATATTTATATTTTTTTCGTAGAATAAACCTTGATTTCCTCTGGAAAACAGTAAACAAAATCAACCAAATATATATATGATATGTATAACCGTTGTGCAATTTACCTTGAATTAATTAGTTAATAATGCGGATAGATAACAATTCCAAAAGCTGTTACAAAAAATAAACACCTTTTTTCTCCTTTGTCATTTGTTTACAGCTACCATTTTATATCGATTCGTAGCGGTATTTGATTTTTTATGATCATTTTAGTAGCCGCATTTCAAAAAAGTCGCGTAAAATGCACGTGTCTTATTATTATAATTTTTAATTGTTTTGCTATCGTTGAAAAGCAGAACAGTAACAAAAATAAATGGTATTTTATTTTAAATAGCTAAATAGTTTGAAAAACGAATTTATCGCCGCAGTGTATGAGATAGGAAGGAATGAACATGAATTCAAACGCATTCAACAATGCACGCATATTTCTGAAACTGGCGAACGTCTTCATGATGGCAATTATTGAAATCAAAATCCAGATGACCTCCAACTCTAGCCAAGCACATGTTACACATATGTATACTCAATACATGGTGTTGAAGCGTTGCCGTTCAGCATTTTCACAAGTTACAGCACTTTACGTGCACACAACCAACGAAACCACACCAATTTCGAATGAATGAAAGAGATTATTGGCGTCTGTTTGTGCGCTGCTCACATATGCTCAGTGCCCATTCACACATACAAATTACCACTGGTTTGCATTGTAATAAACATCGAAACTGAAGAGCGACCAACATGATCATTGTTTGATGCCTGTTGTTTCATATAATATAAATCGGATTTTTTTTGTCGTTCATTCTCATTTTGCATTTTGAGTAGTAAAAATGCTTTGGACGGAATATGTCGCATGTAACTGTGTCACATATTTATGTTTTTGTTATTGCTAGTGCAACATTCGAAGCGATCACATCATGATTCGTGGCTCTTCTTTCTAAAATCCAATTAATCATGGTGGCAAATGGAAAAGTTCAAAATTCGGAAAAAAATCAACTAAAAACTCACTAAGTGATTTCAATGAACGAAAAAACAAGCAAAAAATATCCAAAATTATATCAGAGTTTTTTTTTCTCATGTGTGGCGAACATTAAAAATATATACGAAAAAATCCCAAATAAATATTCATAATTGTGCATTGATCAATTCTAAATCGATCAATTTCGAACTGAAAATGAAAGTCTTTTTTAAAGTGTTTTGTATATTAGTTGCTATTAATGGCAATGGCATTTCGGGTGATAATATTCAAAAAGAGCTGACTATTCGTTCAATTGAAACAAATTCAAAATCAAACAGTGATCAACCGTTTCGAGTTAATTTAACGTGTAAGTAGTTTATATGTTCATATCATCAAATCTAGGTTAAATTGATAAAGGGTTCTGCTCAATTGTGACTGCCAAACTATTACTATTTCAAGAGTTCGTTGTGAAGAAACAAAAACAATATTGCAAAAAATTTGCTTCGATGTTACGATTGCGATGAGTGTGAACATTGAAATAAACACACACACAAATGTTATATAATAATGAATGAATAACCCGGTCACAAACTACTGCCCAAACAAATTCAAACAGCCAAAGTATATTTTGGCAAATTTGTGTATGTGGATAAAACGACTTGAATGCGCCATTTAATTTGAATGTAATCGATATTTGAATGCTTATACTTCTTTAACAATCATGTACATCTGTTTGCATAAACTATATTCGGTCGTTGTTGTTGAAGGTAAGCATTTGGCAATCTCTATCACTCTCTTTTCTCTTTCTCTATTGAGGTGCTTGCAGTCGATAAACATTCATAATAAATTATGCCAAATTACAACTGTGACTTTATTTTTTTTTTAAATGTATACACACTGCCCAAATGAAATAAATCTTGATATTTTAACAAAATTATGAATAAAAATTATGCAGTCAACTTCTGTGTATCACTCTCGATCATATGAATCCAAAAGGTCAAACTTCGTTGTGACGGAATAAAACAGAGTGTGTTTGAATGTGAGTGTATTTGTGTCAGAGCGAAAGAAGGTGTGCGGTTTGATTGCAAGTTAGTGAATTTAACACCTTTCTTTGACTACCATTTTTTTCTTTGCAGCCAATTGGTTAAATTAATATGAAGTAAGAGACAAGTGTATGGAGTTGAAATGTGGTTGGTCCAATTGTTGCATTTTATCGTTCGATAAATTTGGTTTCAAACTCAAATTTTTTTGCAATCTTTTTCTTAAATCCAAAGAACAAATACTATCAATAATATAAATGCGTAAATAATATTTACTAAATATGTTAAGGTCCAGACTTTGGTTCTAAGATGACAAGGTGATACATGAAGCCTTTAAAATTCACTATTACATGATCTACTTTTGTTTTCGAAGTGGAAATTTACAATCAGACTTTGTACACATGTGCAAGGTCGCGTGAAAGTGATATTGTGATTTAATTCGGCTTAAAATCGAACTCATAAAAACATGTTTTTTTTGTTATGACGTTTTTCTGAGTATGCTCAATCAACTGATAGAATACAATGGTATTTAAAAAATACTAATTTGACCATTTAACCCTTTTGTGAACATCAATCAACATTCGATTGTGTGTGTGTGTTTTTTTTTTTAAAAAAAGGTCAATGATATTTTTTTTGCAAGTCACGTCAAGACACATTTATTTTCTGCGACGCGGTGTTTTACTTTGCCCGTATTGGGAATTTACTACGTACATATGTGTCGTTGCATTTGCTTTCACAATCAGTAGATGATTCGTCCATTCTCTAATGCAGCTGAATCTCGTACAAATTGAGAAGAGCGTACAGCAGTTACAAAATGCACAAACTTATGTATTTGGGGCAAACGATTGATCAATTGACCAATAGATTTTTTATATGATCTTTTTTTGTTGATTAGCTTTTGCTAATTCATATTTTTGTATATATCATTTTGTCACAAGCAGACTTTTTTCTATAATAATTTTAGCCTTTTTAAATTATTATCAACTAGCACTGAATGTTTTACCGATCGAAACGAAGACAACACTTGAAGATAAGGTGTCGAATGACGCAAATATTAAAGTGATCGGTGATGTCATTGAATCATCGTCACAAACATCATCACAAAAATCGTCAAATATTCAAGCGGCTGGAAAATTAACGACAACACCAGCACCAAAAGTGCGAAAAGAAAAATCAGATCCATATGAATGCCCAAATACATCGGAATTTGCATTTTTTCCACACTATTGTTCGAGGCACGCGAATTGTGTAAGCATTGGTAAAGAATACCGCTGTTGCAGACAATTCAATAGCAAACGATGTGTCAAAGGTGTACCGAAGCCATTGAAAGAGCAACGCCATGAACGTAAGTCATTGATGATTCTTTCATATCTTTTTGTTTCTACATTAAATGTGATTCAATTTAATAAATATTTTCAGCGATACTCGGTCTGATTCCAAGAAAATGTCCTAAAGAACCATTGGCCGAATTATTTTGGGAATTGAAAACATGTAATTCGGATCATGATTGTTGGCCCCGCATTTGCTGTCCCGATGGTCTGAACAAGTATTGCCGTACATCACGTCCAGAGCTAGATACTTTGCCCGTTGGAAAACAACTAGCATATCGTAAGCATTAAATGTGATATCACATGTGATCGCATCAGTAATAATTAAATTTGATTTTTTTAGCCATCGATATGCTGTCGAGCTATTTACAATGTACACCAGCACCGCCAACCGTTTACGATTTATATCCAAAACCTTGTAACAATACATTGGACTGCTTTCCAAATGTGTGTTGCCAAGAAGCCGGCAAAAAATATTGCCGACCACCAAAACGATCGTTGCTGGCATTTATTACCACCTTTGCTCAGGTATCCTGATATGTTTACCATACATTTATAATCGACTATTGCTAACTATCCAAATGTTGGTCTATTTTTAGCGATTCAATACCGGCGTTGTTCGACAGTGGACCGATAACATTGTTTTCAATTGATAGAAAACATGTACAATATGTTACAATTCAAGTCAAACCGGAACAAAACTCTTTGAGATATAAATGTGATATAATTTTTTAGATGTTGGCATTGTTTTTGTGGATTTTCAATAGTTATTTGTTAAGTTTTTTCAAATGTTTTATTTTTAAGTAAGCATTAGCCGAAACCCCATTGTGAGTTTTTTTTTTTTTCGAAATAAAATTATAATGTTATTTCAATGGGACCACACAACGTTTTTTTATTCAATTATTATTCAATTTTATTAACTAATTTTTTGGTTGATTAAAGAATAACAGCTATCGTTCAATATCGGCTGTAATACCAAGTATTTATTATCGTCTAAATATTTTGAAATATTTTACGCATATTTCAGGCACACGCGTATTCGTGTATTAAGCAATGTTATTCGCAAACTACGTAATAACGTTTCTAATTGTTTCTATCCTGCAATATTGAAGAAATATGAAAACATCTATATTACTTATGAAAATATTCCAAAAAATAAAAAAAATTGAATTTATCTTCAGTTGAATAAATAATTGCTGTCTCGAAAACAACACGTGGAGTATTGGATTGTTTGTATAGTTCGGCACATGGAGTGTTGGATTCACCGTAAAAAGCATATATAAACTCCATTCGATGAAAATGATCATTAAGCAGTGAGGTTTTCAATATTGAAGTCACATTTTTTTTTTTGACGAAATTCCCCAAATTAAAATCTATCTTTTTAAAGATGTTGAATCGAAACATTTTTGTTCTACTTTTCATTGGAGTCATCGTTTGCCAGGTATACATGTATTTTAGATAAATAAAAAAGGATTTTTTTCTTATTTATATTTTTAACAGGCAATTTCTAACGTTGGAGCAGCCCCCAAACCCAAAGGCAATGGAAAAAAACTTGACAGATCAACTTCAATGATATCTTGGGAAAAAGTTAAGAAAGCTTATGAGGTAGCTAAGAAGTACATTTGGATTTCAGAGGAAGATGTAGAGAAAATCAATGCAGAAAAACCGGTGAATCAAGAAGATGTCCAATATTTCATCGAAAAGTTCCACAATTGGATGGGACCGGAATTGGATTATGATACCTTCGATCATGGCCAGAGTAGCAAAAAATGAATAACAAAAAAGTCAATAATGACAATTGCTGAATTAAATTTACAATGTGTATACGATTCACACAGTTGAATAAACACCTGTTTGTGCAAAAGAAAAACAGAATTGTTTTTAACATTTTATCATAGTTTTTTTTTCGTTTTTATTCCAATATTTTATCATCCTACGCTTGTATCTTCAAAACTGTGTCAACCAGCCCCCAATTCATCGATATTCAAAGTCTTTTGGTTTGCTAGTTCAACCATTTTATTATTTGTTAACTAAATTATCTAACTCATAAATGATATCAAATGAAAAAAGAATGTATATTTAAAAGGTGAAATATGATAATCAATTCAAAACACTTTGTTGTTGATTTTTTTTGTTGTTGTTATATGCATAAAATGCGAAAACAAAAGCACATTAAATATCCTCACATAACGAAACATTTAAAAAAAAATCCGAGTTAAAATTGTTGGCGTCACCATCTAAACCAATGTTAAACACTTAAATATGTCGGCAACACTGTAGATAGAAGTGAACAGCAGCAAGCGGCGTCTAAATGTTGCGCGATAAAGAGAATAAAATCTGGGTGGCGGCGCCCTTTAGTTTTTTATTTCTAATCCAAATAATCAACAAAGCCGGACTGTATCGAAAGGAATTTGACTTTCTTTTCATTATTAAATTCCTTACCTGAACATGAATTGTTCAGGAAGAAAAAAAATTCAAAGCGATAATAAATGTGTTATGAACTTTTGAAAAAAGTAAATTGTTTTCAATTTGTGTGCTATCAGTTTTAAAGATTCATATGTGTGGTACGTTATCATCATTTAGTTGGGGTGATGCAAAATATTGATTTTTCCCATTCATACTCTTGTCGAACGAAAGATAGAATAACTATACAGACTATGAATAACTAGTGTGATGGCAAAAAATCTTTCGAGTGCTAAAACTGTCTATAATGACTAAAACATTTCGATTAAGTTTGATAAAATTGTGTGTGTGTGTGTGTTTATGTGATATTTAAAACAAAACCAAACCAAGCAAAACAAACGAATTTAAAGAAAATTTCAAAAAATGGCGGTCATGCTAAACAATACACAAACAGACAGCGATGCAAATGAGATGAATTTTACCGCTTTCACCGATCTATGTCGATTCTGTTCATTAAGACACGGAGCCAAAATTAATTTATTTGAAAAAGAAGCCGAACAACGACAAATACTCTACAAAGTGCGCTCATTTCTTCCAATAGCGGTAAATACTATATAAATATCAGATATAATAAATAGAAACCATCCGATATGTCTGACTTATGTTAGCAATGTCAAATGATTGATATATAATCATTTGTAGATATCCAAAGACGACTTTCTTCCGAAGAAAATTTGCGAACGATGCGTTTTGCGATTGGAACAGTTTTATGAATGGAAAGCGATATGTGTACAGAGTGATACAGTGCTTCGAAACTATTCGGAATCAATGCGAGCCGTTACAGCAACAATTAATTTTACGGTAACTTCTATTTTGTTTTATACTCAATACATTTCTATAATTCGACGATGATTGACAATTTATACTTTTTGTACAAACAAATTTACTGATACCAGAACGGAACTGTTAACGTTGAGAAAATGACTACAGAGCAAAAAAATTCATACTTAGAAGCGCATATGGAAGTTCAACAGCACATGCATCATGTATCAATACAATTGAATAAGCATGCACAAAACCATTCCACAGCCAACAATCAAAGTATGGTGAATAATCAAAATCACAGCGGATCACATCCAAGCAATTCGGTTAATATTTCAAATCCATATTTAAATACGAATCCAATAAAGGTACGATTGAAAATTTTGTTTTTGGTGAAATTGTTTGGGTGCATTGAAATAACGTCGATGTTTTATTAAATTAGGGACCACAAATACCAACACCAACAACTGCATCGTCCGTTGTAGAGAACACATTTACCGTTCCTGATGATGTTGGAATGGGCTATGAAAGTGGAGTTCGGGTCTTACAAAGTCTGGGCAATTGGTCGCCCTCTGACATTCCGCCGAATGTTCCGCGACCGAATCTAATACCGTTCATTGAACCATATATCGAAGGCGGTTCGATGCATCCAGCCAGCCGACTTAAGGCACTACAACAAGTTCAACAAGCATCACAAAATACACGAAAACCAGCCAAAAGTTAGTGTAGATTGGCACAATTCCGATTTTCTTTAATGAGATAATTTGATATAGTAGTAAAAATCGAACAAAATCCAAAAATTAACCTTTATTTACAGCATCATCAACGAAAGCTTTTGAGTGTACAGTGTGTGGCAAAGCGTTAGCTAGAAAAGATAAATTGACAATTCACATGCGAATTCACACCGGAGAGAAGCCCTATATTTGCGAGGTTTGTGTTATCAATTTGTAGTGAATTTGTTACATTTCACATCAAACGTTTATTACTTTTGATTTTTTTTTTGTTTCAGGTTTGCGATAAGGCTTTCGCTCGTCGGGATAAATTAGTTATTCACATGAACAAATTCAAACATGTCACACCGACAAATATAGCTCCGCTAGGAAAAAGACTGAATAATTTGAATTCAGAAGGTAAAAAATCTCAATAAGTTTTGTTTTACCGTCAAAATATCGTTCAAAAATGTTTTTCTTAGATGTAAAAAAGAAACCTGGAAATAATGAAAATAAACAGAATTTAATGCATACACATTTGCATCAAGAATCGGCATCAAATAATCTTCTTCATGGAGGCATGCACAATCAGCAACCGATAAACCAACAAAGTAGTAATGCCTCAATTCAAAATCATGGCACGAATCAGCCGCTATCATGGTCATGTGAACTATGTGGAAGGATGTTTGCGACACGAGACGAATGGTCGATTCACGCAAAGAGCCATTTGGAGGTTTGTATTTGCATATCGTCCACATGTTTGTTTTTGTATTTCATTTGATTAAATTACATTTTTTTTTTCATTCCAATTCCAGTATTGACATGAGGGAAAAAGTAGCTTGTCGATAGCAGAAGCTACGAAGTCAAAAACAGCATCAAACATTAAATGTGAATTTAGTGCATCGGACGATGCACGAGAACATCCACAGGTAAACAATTAGGCAAAAATGTTTAATTTTTGAAGGAATTTTAAGTCATGGATATAAATGAATATGAAAAAAACTTGTTTTATTGCAGACACCATCTTCAGCGGCTGGTTCGAATAATTCTCAGTCACAAAATATTTCACTTATTCCACTGAATACAACCAACTACTGTTTCATATGTCAGAAAAATTTCTCAACTAGTTCAGAGTTCATCGTTCATATTCGCAGTCATTTTATAACCGATCGAGTTGGAAATTTGGTGGGTGAAGAATTGACCTCATCGGAATTATTCAATCGCAATTCAATGGATTGCACCTCTGAAGAGCTGTGGACCTAAAAGCGTACATCGTCATCATTTTAATTTTTATTTCAATGGTAGTCATGTAAACGTACTAATACGATATATGTCACGATAACGAATCTTCTTTTTTTTTTGATAAGAATATCAGTGAACAAAAAAAAAAACAAATTGTCTGTGTGTAATAAAAATGCGATTATATACTGAATGTCGATTATCGACGCAAAAAACAGTAAAAAGTAAAACAAAACTTGAAAAATTATTATACTTTTGATGTGATCTTTACTCGTTCCCCCATTGACAATGTCAATATGAATTTTTAATTGATGGAAATGATTAGAATTTAAGACAATTTCTGAATATTCTTCTCTGTAATCAATTGCAATGGACGATGATTTTTCCCACGATGTATTTAAATAATCATTATTATTGAACGAATTTCATTCGTATTTTTTTTATTGAAAATATATAGCAATGTGCTTACAAAACATCTTTGATTTTATGCAAGTATCTAAATTTTCAAGCCATTTCTTTGTATTGGAAATGTAAAACAATAAAAAAGAACTCAATTTAATTAAGAATTAACGTTGTTTTAAACAAAATAATTTTAGCTCCATTGATTGATTTACAATTTTTCAGTGAGCTCTGGAACAGCTTTGAACAAATCGGCAACAAGCCCGTGATCAGACACTTGGAAAATTGGTGCTTCTGGATCTTTGTTTATAGCTACAATGGTCTTTGAGTCTTTCATACCAGCCAAATGTTGGATTGCACCCGAAATACCGACAGCGATGTATAGGTCCTTGAATTCAATTGGGATATATTTTTTTTAATTACAATTAAATATTCAATTCGGAAATGTGTTCGATAGCACGGAATCGAGAATTGTACATACCGGTGCAACAATTTTTCCAGTTTGTCCAATTTGTAAGTCATTTGGTACGTAGCCCGCATCAACGGCGGCACGTGAAGCACCAACAGCAGCACCAAATTTATCAGCCAAGTCATACAACAATTTAAAGTTGTCACCGGATTTGAGGCCACGACCTATTCGATTATTTGGTTAAAATCTCTTCGATAGATTATTGTAGAATTACACAAAAAATACCTCCAGAAATGATGACTTTGGCGCTTGTCAATTCCGGTCGATCGGATTTGGAAATTTCTTGGCCGAGGAAAGTCGATAGACCTTCGGTTACTTTAATTTCTGGTGCATTTTCAACCGCAGCATTACCACCATCGGCAGCTGCCTCAAAATTTGTTCCACGAATTGTCAACACTTTAACTGCATCTTTGGCTTTGAGTGTTTGAATCGCATTTCCTATGTCATCAAAAAAATATAAAACATTTAAATCACTGAAATGTGACGATGCAAAATATTTGTGATTTTACCAGCATAAATTGTCCGCACGAATGTATCCTGCGATTTAACGCCGATGATATCAGAGATAGGTGATACATCAAGCTTGGCCGCAATTCGTGGTGTTACATTTTTACCAAATGCCGATGCACCCGCCAAAATATGTGTAAATTTCAATTGATTTTGCAGCGATACTACTGCATCGGTAACGGTTTCAGCCGTATGCCCCTTGAATGCTGCATTCTGAGCCAATAGCACCTTTGATACTCCCTTTAACTTTGACACTTGTTCGGCCACCTGAGACACAGACAATTTTTCCGATCAAAATAAAAAAGATCATAAATGAATTCAATTGGTAACATACCGCTGCACAATCAGTGCCAGCAACTAAAACTGTGACATCGCCACCGATTTTTTGCGCCGCTGTGACAGCATTTTGCGTAATTGCTGTTAGATTCTTTTCATTATGCTCAGCAATAACGAGTGTACTTTGGAAGCGACGGTTTAACTAAATATATTGAGAGAGAAAAAAGAAATAAATTGATTTTATAATATGAAATGCACATCGCTGAATTCGAAATTATTTTTAATCGAGAAGATCTACATTTTATGGACTTTGATCTGGAGATGAGATACATTTAAAAAATATAATGAACATCAAGATTTTTCTCAAAGTCATTGATTATCAATTTCATTGAAATAAAAAACAAATTTCGAAAGGAAAATTTTCCAAATTATTGTTTTTCATTTAATTTTATTTACCCGGTTGGCTCCAATTAAAAGATTTTTTGATTTGAACATTTTTCTAGTTGAATAGATAAGCCCGACTGTATGTGTTAGCAAATATTTTGTTCACATTGAACCTTATACACTTGTGACAGTTCTGTCACATATAGCATAATGGCGAAGAGTTCGTTTATTGCACATTTCTTTCCATTGATATGAAACCAACCATAATCATTCAATAATAATTTGATAATCTCTTGAAGAAATTCAAAACCATATGTTGTATGGAATTTTCTTGAAAATCGAATAAAATTTTCCACATTTATTAATTGTGAAAAGTTATTAAACGGCTTTTTTATCGACTTGCGGCAACTTTTCGAACTAACAATCAAAACAACACAAACATAATGAATACGTAGTTGTATCGAATACGTCTGTTTATTTCATTTGTGATTCAGTGATTTAACAAAGTCAAGATAATAAAGACCTAGATAAAGACGTAGAAAACAAAACATGAAGATTAAATTCATAAGGAAAAGCAAAAATGTCCAGAAGATCATGATTCGATTTGTCAAATTTGCTTGGATATGGTGAAACAGGAGCGCGACCAATTGTGCAGCAATGAAACTCAACCAAATCTAAAAACTGGAAATCATGTTATCGGTATGTGGTCAAATGCCGTCGCTAAGTGATGGATGTTCGGCTATTGTTTTATCGTATTTCAATGAAGTCTACGATCATCTTAAAGACAATTTGAATACGGAAAATATTTGTCATATGGCTGGCGTTTGTGTTGCACAATTTCATCAACACGAGGATGATATTGAGGTGATTGAAGATTCACAAATTGAATTCATTGATCATGTAAGCGATGACGTTCCATGCGATCTCTGCAAACAACTCGTTGTGCATTTGAGGTAAGCCATTTCATTTAATTATGCATTTTTCAGTATTAACGGTAATATGATTTTTTTTCATTTATTTTGTTAATTGGACACAGAAATTTACTGGTTGCCAATACGACCGAAGCCGAATTTGAGAATGTACTTGAAGGCATTTGTAAACAAACGAAATCATTCAAGTCAGAATGTTTGAGTTTTGATCCGGATGGATCCGGATCCGGATGGTGCTTGTTTCATGATTGGCATCTGTCCAAAGGGTAAATTGACACAAGAGCCACAGCATTCGTATGAAGTCATGCCATTCATACCAAATGATCAATTACTTGTGAAGAAGAAAATTTTTGGCGTAAACGAACCGATACTATGAGCACAAGATATTCAAAGTTTCCAATTGCGGAACACACTTTTTTGTACCACACACAGTGGCGTGCGGGGAACGCATCGAATCAACATATGGGCAGCAATGCTGGACAGACGCTGCGAATATCTAGCACTATTCAGACAGCAAAAAACCATCACTGTTCATTTACACGTTTTGAGATGCATTTACACGTATTGACACTTATTTTGTACATTTATTCGTATTTAGAAGCTAGTTGACAACTTCCTAGCTCCTTACATGAGACAACAAATAAAACCTTCGGCGTCAAATAATTTGAAAATGTTAATTGAGCATTTTGAGATGTGGTGAATGTAAACCGTTCGGTTTTACAAAACATTATCGTTAATAAAATAATTACTTTTTACACACATAATTGAAAGTAAACCTAAAATCAAGAACAACATACAGATACACACATTTTTTTGTAATAATCAGAAATAAAGTTCTTCTATCATGAGCAGTCAAACCAATTATTTGTCGCTTCAATTTGTCCAACTGTTATCAACTAATTTTCGTTTATTGAATTTTTTGTTTTGTTTAAATGAAAAACAATTTTTTTGATTAACATAATATTTAATGCGATTTTATGTATCTTTTTTTTTAAATGCGCTACCGGGCCTCAGAGACCCGACCTGCCCGGTTAAGGGTTAATAAAAATAAAAAGCAAATAATTTTTACCATTAATATGATAAATTACCAATTGAGATAAAATTCATGAATTAAAGACCAGTCAACATTTAGAAACTTATTAAAGAAGCGATAAGATTACTGCCTAAAATGATTTCCACTTAGTCCGTTGCAACGGAAAACAAGTTTGCATAGAATGCAGCGCCAACTATATGTGAATTTTATTTTTCATCGTTTTAGGCAATATATCTATGGTTTTCTTATGGCTTCTTTTTGTCTATGACATGGAAAAATTTATATCTGTAAAAAAAAAATAATTTGAATAAAAACTAAAATGTATATTTATTCAATGCGAAGACTTCATGATACATTTGAATAACTTATTTGCTTTTGTATTTTCTTTTTTCGTTCCAATTGCATTTTCCACAACACTGCCTGGCACTTTTCCATCGGGAATTTATTCATTAGAGCATCATGGAATGAATATTTGTAGATTCACAGACAATAGTTTGTTGAATAAATTTTCAGTCAATTTAAATAAATGAATGAACATACCATACCATTTGCATGGTGATAAACAAAAATTTAATCATAAATTCTATATAAATTTTACATGAGACATTTTCTGCAATCGCAGTATCGCTATTGATAAAAATAAATCACCGTTTACAATCAATTAGAACTGGATTCTATTCTGTGTTTGGTGTTGAATTGATTGAACGACATTCAGATCGGCAATGGCATTCTGTCTTCCAGTCTCTAGACTCGTATCGTACATTCTGAACAGAGAAAAAGAAATGTATTTATTTCGATGGCAACATTGAAGGCAATATTAAAAATGCATTACCTCAATACAAAGTCATAGTTGTAATGACTTCCATTTGTAATTTTGAGTAGATTCCTCATTAATCCACTTGGAATCAGATTCAAAACTGACATAATTGTTTCGCCACTACAGCGATGTAAGTAGGTAAGAAATTGATGAACAAATAAGACCTTCGGCGTCAAATCGTTTGAAAATGTTAATTTGTATAGGGTTTGGAATAGATCTTGTAAGCATGCTTTCAGCGGTTCATTTATTCGAGATGAAGATGAACTGGTTGAATTTGAATCGTTGTCACCATTTGTTACATTTTCTGCCCTCTCTTGACCATCAGATAAAATTTCCAATAACGAATCATCTAATTTACGCACTTTTGATGCACGTTCATCGCTTGTATCACTTCCATTGAATGGTCTCTTGGACTTGATCGTCGCATTCTTCTCAAGTGACGACATGATACAATAAACGCATAATCGAGCCAACACCGACAATTGAGGTTCGATTAATTCAAATTTTCTGGTGAACGAAATGGATGATTTAAAATTATAATTTGTATTTTGATGACGAGAAATATGAAATGAGTAGAAGAATTACTTACTGTGTTTTATTCAATAAAATCATTGGAAGTAGATCAGAGAGCAATGTTATTGTACATTTTTGAATATTCAGATGCATAACGGCAAATACGATGTCCATTGATTTGCTGATATCCTATTAAGAAGAGAAATGAATGAGGGAATGAATGTGTCAATCAACATGGGTATGCTGCCTGTCAAAGTGGTAGCCCGTGGAAAATTACTTACCCTTGAAAATTTACAATAAAGAACTTCGTTGACCATTTTTGAAACGAGCCAATATGGGCCGCATGATTGAAGTAAATTGTCTAGTACTTGGGCTGCTTTAATCGAAAGCCATCCGCGACTCGAAACCGTTCTCCAAACTTCATGAAATTGCTCTTCCAACGGTTGATTCGATACAATGTTCAATATTGGCGATCGTACATTTTGATTTTGATGTGCATCTGTTTGCATTTTTCGTATAATTTGGCTGGTCAAATTGAGTCGTTCGCGAAAATTGTTGGTCGCTTTAAGTTCATCACTAATGGTGGTGAGTGTCATCAATTGTTGAACCATATTCAATGGTTTCAATAATTCATCGTCACGCACAATTTGCATGTATGAACACAACCATGAAGCGGCACAAATCGAATACGTGCACAATTTACTCTTGATATTATCTAAATGAACTTTTACATCGGCCGCTGATATTGTATCATTCTCCCATGCAACCAATAATTGGTACAAAACACCGGGCAATATTAAACAGACTTCATGCCATCGCAAATTGGACATTTTTGTCATTGATGCATCATTTGAGCTGATACTTGTTAGAAATTCATCGACCTTATTCTGTTCACATTGATGCACCATATTCATGGCTGATTTATTTTTTGTTTTTTCAATCATAAAATCGCGAACCCATTTCTCGAAGAATGATTCGCCATTACCGTCCAATACAACATGTGAACCATACATTTGTACAATGAATGTTAACATCAAAAATGTAACGTCAAACAATGCGGATGTTGTATCATTTGCTTCGGCAATGGCCTGCTTTGATTTCTCATTCCATCGTATCAATCGCGTAACAAATGTCTTGAGTTGACCTTCCATTGTGGCTACGGATAGAATTAATTCGAAATTGTTGCCGGATAATAGGCCACATAACATGCCCAACATTCCTTGCTCTTGCATTTTATTATAATCATTGTCCAACGCTTTAAGTATTCCATTTAGTGGTGATTCAGCCTTTTTCAATTGCTCTATTATCGATGATGGTTGATGATTTAAATCAAGTTTTGACAATGACACCATCACCGGATCACGTTGTGATGCAAATTGTTGCACATGTTGGGCACTGATCAAATTGTGTTTATTCAATTCTTTTAGCAAATACTCGATGGTATTGCATGTGCATGTTGTGTCCAAATAGTCCAATGTTGGATCATCGATTAATGTTTCTAGTGCTTTTACCACATCCGGTGAATTTTCTGAAAATAATAAATGTTTTAATCTTTATATGACACTTTTTTTTATAAATTAAATCATAGCTTACCATTTTTCGAATGGAGTTGTTTGATAATGTGCGGCACCCGTATAAATGTGAATGCATACCACATTGATTCTTGACAAATATCATTGTCTTTGCTAACATTTTGCAACGAAATCAATGCCGATCGAATTAATTCGCTGTACACACGTGACATGGGATAATTCTTCAACTGCTGCACCATTTTCAAATGTGATGCATATTTTTGTGTACTACAATTTGGATGCAGCAGCACATTAACCGCAATGTATGGCTGTAAACAGTATGTTATCGTTTCGATTTTTTCATCAAGTAATGCGTTATTTCTCTCGAGAATTTCACCATCCAATTTAACGCCAATCAATTTATTGAGCAATCTTTCGATGGTGTTTACTTTAGGCAGGGCAGCACACTTTTGATTATTCACAAGGTTTTTCAATTGAATTGTTTTTTCATGTAATTTCTTCATAAATTCCGAATCATCTTGTTTGGCAACATAAATATTTGCCACCACAAATTGATTGGCAACGATTTTTTCGAGTAATTTTGTCAAAATGTTTAGAATCTCTTGATGCTGTGGTGTGATAAATTCGCTTTTGAATTGAGCCTCCAACACCGATGAAAATACTTGTGCCAACCAATGCAGCAATTCTAACAGTGAACCTGGAAGTGTGGTTTCCTCTTTTTTTGTTCTGAAGATAAAACAATCACAAATAATTAAAATGTCAAAATTCAATGAAATAAAAACTTTATCGCCTACCGACACGTTACACCATTCATGATTGAATCAACAAAATCCAGAAGTGCAATTATACAATATGGTCGATCGAAGCCATCAAACTTTGCGATTCGTTTGATAACAGCAGAATGTGAAATTTGTCGCGAACACAGCGAATGACGAAGATAAGATAATACCAATTTGTTGGCATCCGAACCAATGACGGCTTGTTGCAAGATATTGTCAGCCAAATCATAGGCATCACCTGATACACCTTTTGGCAGAACCTGTTTCATAAATTATTCGTTATTATTTTGTTTTCAAGATAAAATGGAATTTTATGTATGTGTTGCTGCCTACCGATTTGATGTATGTACCCCACTGTGCATCATCCCATCGCTCTCGCCACGCTCGTAATATCATTGCATTGATTAAACTAGTTTTATTTGCATTGTCCATTGTAGTGGTTGAATTGCTTGAACCAGGCAGACTAGGCATTCCGATGCTAGTACACAATGTCCAAGAACAATTTTTTTTTTTTGAGTTGAATTGAATCACTTCCAAATAGGCTACACTATTTTACCTTTGAATTGTACGGTATTTTATTGTATGTGTATTGATTGATAAATTAAAAACCAAATGACCATTTAAATATGATCATTATTGAATAAAATGTACGATATAATTTACGTATCGTTTCAATTTTCTTCGAATTGTTTGATTGCCGGCAGTACGAATGTATCTCAAACAATATTTGCATCGTTTTGACAGTTTTCAAAGTTTTAATGTTGTTGAATTTCCATTATGGCTGTGATACACACATACACAAATGCACAACTTAGTACACACACATTTAGTACAAAAGTAAAATGTCAAAATTGGCTATTGTAGATTTTACACAATATTCAAGCAAATAATAAATTTAATTATACATTGAACTGTAAAGTGAGCATGAAATGATAAAAGAAACATACACACACATACCTTGTGTGTGAAACAAAGCAATTGACTTATTGGCCAAAGCTGTCAGTTTAAAATGAAACTGATAAAAACAATGAAATAAAAAGAAGACGATCTTTGTGTTGAACTAGTGTGAAGTTGTCCTGGTTAATAATTTTACACAATACATGCCAACAATACTGGGGCATCGTGCTCTTTCTCCGTCTCATTTTCTCTCCATCTCTCTCTCCCCCACACACGCATATTATTGATACGGATAGCATTCAGTAGTCATCAAGTGGAAAAGGCAATTAGAAAACAGAACTGATATACCGTGCAAATAGTGTACACACATATAAACAGTCTGGTCTTTACGTTTTTTGTATGAAAATTTGTAAAACAAACGTTTCCACACTCATTCGAACCATGCTCTTGTATATGCATTGACAAACAAAATTCAGTGCCGATACATGTGCTGGTGAATTTTCCTTTGCTGCAAATTTTATTGGGCACTTCTGACCGCTCCGAAACACAAAGTAACGAATTTGTTCGCGTTGGTTTTTTTTTTCTTTGGCGAAATTCGATTTTATAAGAAAATAAAGAAACAAACAAAAAATGTTGATTTTAGTATAGTGAAAATTCAAACACATATAGAATACCGTCACACAGAGATCCATCGACTGTCAAAAAGAATTTAGGTTTTTTTTTCTTGTGTGTGTTTTGTTTTGGTTACATTTTCTCGGTCGATGTTTTGTTTTCGTTGATTTTTCTTTATCACGATTTCCTTTTATTGAGTGTGTAAAGTCGACCAGAATTCGAACGAGAAACTTCAGTATTAATCACAACCGATCGACACGACATTGTACACAAAATATTTGTGCAAAAAAAATTTTATAAATATTCACGGGCATTGTGTATAATTTAAAATCAAGATATCATTGGTTATCGTCATTGTTTTTTTTTTTATTTCGTTGTCATTCTGAAATCAACGTTATTTAAGTTTTTTTCGCGTTAAGCATCTTTAATTGTTTTCTTGTGATTACAAATAAAAAGTGTGTGTATTTGCATACGACTACAGTGTATTCGGAGTGTGTGTGTGTATGTATTTGAAAAGTGAAGCAAAAAGCAGGAAAATTGACCATTCGTCATCAATCATTGTGCTTTGAAAATGTGAGTTCTACATTCATTCAGTTGTATAAGATAAAAAAAGTGACACAGAAAATTCCTAATGGCTTTAAATGAGAAATCACTTATTATTAATTTTTAGATAGTCAGAATTAATGATATGGATATGTGTGAAACTTTAACATTGCACACTCAGACACAATTTCTGTCTCAATTTTGTTAATGCTGTGTTCGTTAAAGTCAATGTTTGATTTAAACTCAACAACATTTCATTTGAAATTCGAGCTAAATTTGCGAATGAGCTCTTTTCAAATTCAAATGTTATTCATCAAATCATATGAGATACGCATTGTGGTTGCAAATTATTCAATTGTATATCGTCTTCAAAATGCTTTTGTGTAAAAATGAAATTGAAAGCAATATCGATTCGTAAAATGTTCGAGTATAATATTCATAAATCAAATTTTTGGGCGTTCATGATGATGATGATGATGGGTGCAAGGACGCACCACATACATATACTATACATACATGCCATTATCAGACAAAATAAAAACGAAACTTATTGTTAATAAAATCTCATTGTTGTCAAGTTATTATCATTCGTCGTGCGCGCGTTACAATTACGGCTTGGCATTAAGTATATCTGTTAGTTTTTTTTTTATTATTATTTCTATACTCTGTCATTCTTTGCACAGTCGCACGTGGTCATGTTGTAATCTAATAATTTTCGTGCTAAATACATATTATCAATTATTTAATTACATTTTTTAATGTTTCAATGTCTTTATTTTTAAAATTGCACACACACAAATACACCGAATTGTGTGAATACCCTGGAGTTTTTGTTTTAGTTTTTTTTCATTCGTTGGACCTTACGTTTTTCGCGCACAATAAAATTGGTCGTTGTCACATATGACTTTGAGCAAGATAAACGCGATTAAATACAACCGTCTTTATCTCTTCGGTGTTTTTTTTTTGTTACATTGAATTGTGCCGAATTGTGCAAAGATGTTTCCCTGTTTTAAATTTCGGCAGGTGAAAACAAAATGATTTTGTAACATATTCGATTGCGATTTACTGATTGGCATGCTTGTTTTATGTGTCAGTTTCTTTTTGACCAAATGCAGATAACAAGTTTGATATTTCTTAAGAATTCAAAAAAAAAAAAATAACTCAATAGAATCATCACTTCTCCGAATTTATTTCTTTGCATTTGAAATGAATCAGATTTGCCGTTTGGTTTCAATTTTTGTTTTGCCAAACGAATCGAAAAATAAGGAAGAGGTCATATATAACATCTTCTTGGAATTCAAAATGCACAGTTGATGTAATTTCATTTGTATTCACGACCACAATCAATAAAAATTGATCGGTGCGCGGAATTGTCAACGTATTTGGAAAGAAGCAAAAAAAAAACACACACGAATGACCATTGAATTTATTTGACTTCCATTGTAAATCGAAAATTATGCAATGCTCAATTAAACGTGGATAACATTTATTATTCATCCGAAACTAGTCAATTATTTTATCAACGTCAAAGCAAATGAATCCAAGGTATAAATAGATGAACAACAACTGGCAATCGTCTTAACAATCAAACATAGATAATTTTTATGCCATTGTACGTGACAAATGTATACATGTATTTAAATATTAAAACGGATGGAATGGAACAGATTGACCGACGAATATTGCGAGTGACCAATACAAAGTATTATCCGTGGTCTAGGTTAATCATACCTAATGTTTTGCATTTTGCACATCGATGCCATTGTCTGATGTGCATAGTATGCACTGCCATACACCTACAAAAATAAATAAATTCGATTCACGTTATATTTAACACAAAGATTACAAATGTAAACTTTGGCTTTCACTTTTGTGCGTGTGCATGATGTTTGATTTGTCTCGTCTCTTGCACTTTGTCCAACATTAGTTGCTATGGGCAATGTGCACATTGATGCCAAAAACCTTTGCCACGTTTTACATCGCAACCGCCCTTTCCTCTCCGAATCTAAAGTTCATACCTTGACAATGTTTTTCGAAAAATTTATGACCACATGCATTCTACCTGCATGCCATCACACTCATAAATACATCGAACCATTGAACAATTGTCACAGACCAAATGACATGCCAATTGCAGATATGAAATAAATAATTAACCAACCACAATTTCTGAAATTGCTTCGATTTCTTTTGAAAATAAAATACGATATTCATACAAAAACAATGGTAGCAGCGTAAGAAATATTATAGATTGTAACAAAGGACATGTAGACCATACTCTACAACACAAGAAAGATGAGAAAGTATAGAGAGATCCATACAGAATTGTTCATCAATTAATATGCATCGCTGGTTCATACAAGCCGCATTTGCATTATCAAGATGCGCAATAGAATCTCAAAAGGCGGTTCTATCTCTTTCACACTTTGGACCGACTAACGATAAAAATATTATTTGGAGCGTTATTTGTAGATACAATGTATATATAGTGTCGATACAATTGAAATAAAGGCCCAACATGTACACAGCGCCTTGAATGTATCTTGCTATAATAATAATTATTTTTTTTTATCTTCAATTCATATACACAATCAAATACAAGCATACAATATAAAACATTCTTTCAAATTCTCTGATTCAGTTTTGTTTTCGTGGAATTGAACAAAATTCCATATGATTTCAATTAGTCAGCATTTAAATTGTTGTGCACGCGTTGCACAAATCATTGTTTTGATTTTCACTTTATTTCCTTTTTCTTTTCGTTCTCGGAGTTTCTCTGTCGATTGCTGCTATTATAGTAGCCAACTACTATTATAATTCATCTGAAAACAGTGTATGTCGTTGTATATGTATTTTCTCTTTCAATACTCATTTGCATTGTTTGCAAACGAACGATGAAACTTTTATCTGGCTAAAGTCAATTCGTGTGCACTATAAGACAAAGTTTTAGTTAAAATATTTTGAATAAATTAAAAAAAAAAAATGAATTAATACAGTAATTGTCACAAATTCAAATTGAGAGTAAGAGAAAGAGAAGGAAGAAAAACACTAACAACAATAACGAAAACGAAAAAAAGCAAAATCAGTTTTTATTTATCTTTGAAGCGATATTTGCAGTTAGATAAGCAATTAAAAATGCATTTCTCTATAGTATTCGTTATTTAAATCCAGACAGGGCCGCAGGCTCATGCAATTATGATGGAATATCTTTTTGACTTTTAATTGTATATGATTCTTTTCCCCTTCTCTTTGGGGCAGAAATATGTCAATTTTTTTTTTATTTTGTGTCAATGACCTCTTCCACGAATTCGATCATTTAGTTCCAAAGTATAAAATTTCAAGTCAAAGATTATATGTCGTCTCGAACTCTGTTCAACCCTAGTCAAGAAAACAAAACAAAACAGAAACGCCGGCATTTACTGTTTATTTATCAATCGCTTCAAAACACTATTTGTTTGGTCGAACTTGTCTCATATTGATTTATGTGGTTCATTTAGCATTTCGAAAATTATTCGGTATGAAGTGGATATGTTTTATACTATTGAAATAAAATAAATACAATCTGTGTGAACGATTCAGTGAAAACTAATGAGGTCAATTTTAAATGGCAAAACAAAATAGAATTTCGTAAAATCATTAATTAACAACCATTCATATCGTGTGTCAGCCACATTTTAGACCTAAATATACATCTGGTGTCGGTATTTCTGTGAGTCATACATTTATTTATATAAAATATAAAATGTGTCATTCTGTGAAAGAATAAATTTTGATAGGACACTCCAAGCGTTCGATATTCATCACGATGGACGCTTCAATGGAAATGAAAACAAAATCAATTTGATTTCGTTGAATTTTCAATTGTAAATAAAATACACAAAACCAAAAAAGAAACGAACCGATTTCGATCAAGGTATAATCATAGTTGAGAATTGAGAGTGTAGTTATACACATTGCAACTGTAATTTAATCAATAAATATAGAACTACTAAACCATTTTATCGCAGCAATATTTTAAATTACACCATAATTCGTTTTAATTGACTTTAATATAACAGGGTTTGGCACTTTTATTTGCTTGCATATTAAATTGTGATCGCATTTTGCGTATGCAATACAACATAAAATGTTTCTAATGATACATGTGTCAAAACAAATGCCGTTTCATTTGAGATATGCGTAACTAACATAACAATTAATTAATTTTAATTTAACATAGTGACCGAGCGCGATGCAAAGCGTATCAATTTCCATTGGTGTGTACGACGCAAAAACAAAAATATGAGAATGCAACACCAAATTCATTTGAATACGAAATTTATTTTTGTTATCAAAGTGCGATGTATTCATAAATTTTTACAAAATTTAACGATGATTATCATCTCGAAAAACATTCGAATGTACGACACATTTTCCACCACAAAGTTCAAGGATACAACGGGGAAACACATGAGCTCATTGATGCACGTGCATTTCAAACACGCGCTGAGCACATTTGTTTCACTTTAAAATACGAATAAATTGTGTTTGAAATTATCGAACGAAATATTATCGTTGGAATTTTTTTCCCCGTACTTTTAACTAATCGATTAAAAATGAATGTGAAGTGGTTTTAAGCTTAAAAAAAAACATGAATTTCATCCATTAATCAGTTGTATATGAATCATATGACGACTTTTTTAGAATTAATTTTATGTAATAATTATCTGTATTATGATAAAAAAATGTAGACCTCGTAATGGGTTTGATAGTAATAAATCAATTACAATGAAATAATGCGAAATTTTTTTTAAAGAAAATCATTTAAAGGGGAAAAAATGAACTTGAATTTTCTTATTATACACCGTTAATAAAAAAAAACTAATTTTTAAGGCATTTAACGAACAAACATCTCATGCTTTTTTGAATCCCTTTCCAGACTCCCGACTGCTTTAATACGCGACATTGAACGACTGAGATTTAATAAATCGCAACAGCAAATAACGATTTACAGCCAAAAACTAAGAAAACAAATAATCAAACACAAACTAGGCCATCAAAATGGGTCGATTTTCAGGGAAAAAATGTCGCCTTCTCAGTATGATGGTGTTAACTGGATTTTTCTTCTTTGTCGAAATCATAGTCGGCTATGTTACAAATTCAATGGCATTGGTGGCGGACAGTTTTCACATGCTGGGTGATATAGCGGCGCTGGTCATATCGTTTTTATCTGTAAAGGTAAGTGTGTAACGTCCAAATCTTTATTTGTCATTTAGAAATTGTTTATGTGTTGTTGTTTTTTTTTTGTAAAAGTTCGTAACATTATCTTCTTCTTTTTTCTCAAATGATTGCAGATGTCACCAAAGAAATGGTCAAAAAATACGTTCGGATGGGCTCGTGCGGAAGTATTGGGTGCTTTGGTGAATGCCGTATTCTTAGTAGCACTATGTTTCAGCATTACGATTGAAGCGTGTAAAAGGTAATTTTGATCCTTCTTTTTTATTTGATTCCTTTCCACGCACATATATGCATGAATTAAAATGCTCTATGAACAAAAGAAAAAATCACCATCGGAAGGTATTGTTACTGCAATAATTGCAATTTGTTCGTCAATTTTTATTGATTTAAAATAGTTTTGTTTGTCTCGCAACGCAATTAACAAATTATTAATAATAAATGGTACTACAATGTTTTTCAAAAATCTTCCAAAAATCCACTCAAACTATATTATTGAAGAAGAGTAAAAAGAGAAACTCTTTGATTTTGATTTTTAAGATAGAAGGAAGTCCGAAATTTTCGATTTTTAAATGAACATATAATATGGAACAGTACAATTTCTAAGCTAGTCAAATCCTATTTTATACACATATATATATTCTTTGTCCTTCATCTATTTGTTTCTCACGCGACGAATCGCTCTAAAAAAAATTGTGATCTTCCATTTCGAGTCTTAATAACGACGAAAAATTACGCCGCGCTGATTTGTTTAATTATGAGAATTTAACGGATGTGGTTATAGTTTTTGTGACTGTTTTTTTTTGTTGTTTTTCGTCTATTGACACTGCACTAACTTAAACATAAATAGGTTTTTTTTGGAAATGAATTGTGTTTGCCCTTTTTTCTTTTGCCTTACTCTCGCCGAAAGAGAAAGAGGCGTATCTACCCAATATCTTGAATCACAATGTCAATTTTATATATTGGTATAATCTTGATACAAACAAAATGTATGCAGGCCAACAATATAAACATCGTATTCTAATTTACACGTACATTGTACACGTTAGGTTTCTGAAATATTCTTATTTTCTTTTTGTTTTTGTTCAATTTTATCCGAAATCTAAAAAAATATTATCATAATTTGACACATTTGATTGAAGCATCCAAAATTTAACAATGACATTTTTCTGTAAATGTTAATGTCCGAACGCAATTGGTATCTCTAATTAAACGGATTATTGAAATATGAAATGTAATTTAAGTACGTTTAGTGTCAAGCTAAAAGAGAAAGAGTGCCTTAAAATTCTATGCGGGTTCCATTGATGTTAAATTGTTCATTTTGCCTGTTCTTCGGCACGTTTGCGACGTTTGTTAAGTAATGGATTGTTTGAATTGTCAAGCGTCTTGATGTGCATCTGAAAAGATAAACGACAATCATTAAAAATGTCATATTGTGGTCGAAAAGTTCAATTGCTCAAATTAACCTGATCATAGTCGACTCGCATGGTAGCCAATGATCGGGTCATTTCTTCTTGGACTTCAGGCCAAATGTCTTCGCCCTCTCGTAGAACGCGACCAGTATGCAATGGTGTTTGTGGCACAGCAGTATATTGCTAAAACAAAATGTGAATAAAACGAAATGAGCCATCAATTTGTCGAAAATTTGATGTTAAATTAACTTACAGCAATCCATTGGTTTCTCATCACTTGATCGATAGTTAGCCGTTTGCTTGGATCAACATTCAGCATTCCCTGTATGAGTTTTTTCGCTTGATCGCTTACATTTTGCCATTCTGGATTCGGAAAATCGAATTGTCCTAATCGAATACGTTTTTTCATGCCTGGTGAAATGGCGAGGCCATGATTACTGTAAAATGGCGGAAAACCGCATAATCTAAAAAATTGGATAACATGACAAGGTAGAAAGCATATCGTTTTAGTAATCATTCTAAACAATTTCAATCGCATGCAATAACACATACAGAATGTACATAATAACACCAAGTGACCAAATATCACAGCTTTTGTCATATTTTTCTGGGCCCAGTACTTCGGGTGCAACATAATATGGTGTATAACAGGGCGTTTGTAACGTATCTTTTGTAAATGTCTCCTTTGCAAAACCAAAATCAGTCAATTTTAATACAGCATTTGCTGCTGGTGATGTATATAGTAGATTCTCCGGTTTTAAATCACGATGTGCCATATTTAAATCGTGCAAGTATTTCACAGCCACACAAATTTCATGCATAATTTGAGCTGCCTCTGTTGCGCGCGCGAGAGAGAGAGAGAGAAGAAGAAGTGTAAGAAAATGGTAAACAAACAAGATAAGTTTTGTTTCTTTTTTGCACTTGACAATAGAGTTGAAATTAGATGAATTTACCTCGTTCGGTGAAGGGCCCCTCGTCTTGGCGATCTTGAATTCGCTGAAATAATTCTCCACCTTCCATGCTGCGCGCAAAAATAATAATAATAATAATAATTCATTATTATTCTCATAAATTGAATGTGACATGTGCGAAAAAAAAAAACCACTCTCTACACTTCACACATTCATACGGTTTAATTTGGAAAAAAATTAGCAAGTCATCATCATATGATATTTTCATATTTTCAAAGTGAAAAAAAAAATTTCACAATATCTTCAGTCCGGTAAAATATCTTTAGGTATATGGTGTGATCATTATGATTGATTTTTTGTACTTACCATTCCATAACAACTAGTAAACATGATTTACCACTGTACGTATTTTCAAATACATCAACAATATTCACAATATGACGACATCCGCTGGCCGCCCAATGCAAATCAACTTCACGTCTTGCTTTCGGATTGTCATGCAGAACTTTGAGCGCATATTTTTGGCCAGTGGCACGGCTCGTACATTGAACGACTTTACCATTGATGCCAAGGCCGAGGACTGTATTCGAAATGTCGTATGTGTCTGTGATTGGGGTTGTCTTCGGTTGGCGTGGAGAGTCTTTCGATGTATTTGATTGCATTTTCGTTCAATAAAATGGAATTCCAGATGCGCTCCAAAAATGGAATTCCAGATAATTTCTGTTTGGATATCCTAAAATTTGAAATCGTATTTTAGTTGATTTAAATCGTTAACCAAATTATATAAATAATACCTGTGACTCAAGCAGGATGTGAAATAAGTATGAGTAAAATACCGAATTATTTACTGCCGTCTGACTCAGTTGATTTTTCACGCTTGTAATATCAGAATGCCGTGTAAAAATTACTAGAAAAAATATGGACAGAGATTTAATTGGGAATAAATTAGTAGTGTGTCTTTTTTCATTTTTCACTTCGTTTAAATTTTTATTCAACGGCGATGCAATTTCTTATACGGTCTCATTATTTATTCAAGCAAACGCACAAACCCCGCAAAATATTCCCTCTATGGACTGACAATCACACATAAATGTAACAGTTTTTTTTAATAATGCAATTTAATAGACTGCATGGAATGTCAATTAAAATCAAAATCAATTTGCCACGGTATAAAATCTCGTGACATGTTTTCAACAACGAAACATGACAGAAACAAAACACTCTACCATGCGAAAGAAACTCTTAATTCAATGAGATTGACAAGACATTTTTCATAACCATTCTTCGTTAGTTATTCAAATATAAACTCACATACACACACGCGACCACGTCAATGAATTGTATATTTGTGACCGTATCAATGTGTATACGGATGACGTAGTACATTACCAAGAAGAGAAAAAAACAACGACAACAACAACAATAATGTTAGTGTTTTGGCATTGTAACATATGGACTATTCTATGAATTTCGTAAAGTGAAGAAATTCCCATCCAATGAGCGTCATGAAGTAATATTGAAAAAAAAAAAATAGATATTACATGCTACTCTTTATCAACACTACATGACAAACAAAAGATTCGGTCGGCTTTGATTTGGGTGCTAGCGCGTATCCAAAAATATTATTCATGTTCTCAGACACACCTTGTTGAATGTTCAACATTTAAATTCAATAAAACAATGTCTCTTTTTTTATTCAATTATTTGATTTTCGACCAATGAAACGAATCACACAATATCAACACATGATTTAGTTTAATCACAATTTGTTTTTTTTTTTTTGTCAAAACACATCGTATTCTATCGAGGTATTTGACGATCTTTAATCGTACATTTCCATGAAATTCACTCAATTATAAGAGATGAACGATACGAAAATAATGAAATAGAATACAGAAAATACAATTCATTTTAAGATGATCATAAATTACGTATATTTTTCTGTTGATTTCAATGCACTGAGCGAAACAAATACATCAATCAAAAATTCAAAACAGTGAATTCTATTTTTGATATAATATTGAATTGGATGAGATTGTGCTTATTATACGCATACACGGACATAAACAATAGCACACCGACTAGCGTTTCGTTGGAAATAACAAAATATTTACGTTTAGCATATACGAACGACTGTAATCTGTCGAATTGCAAATAATTTGCTTTGGAAATTGAACATATTCTTTTCGCGAATGCATTCGCAGCAATGATTGATTTAATCGCATATGTAAGTTTTTTCTCTTCAATTGAACAGTAGATGTTATTCATCCTTTTTCTGCGACTATGCTTTTCAAATCACACCAGCACACATTGTTGACTTTTCATTCGATATATCCGCAACTGGCGTACGCTTCTCTTTTATTTTCATCAATTCATTCTATTCGCGTTTTTTTTGTTCGGTCGCTTGTTGTGTTTTTTTTTCAGTTCGGTCATGAATGTATATATTTATCGCATGCCGCTAGTCCAAATCGTTCGCCATATATTTGCAAACACAACACGCTCACGCATATTTACACCATTATAATTATAATAAAAAGAAAATAATAATAACTGCACATACACAATGACCCTTTCCTCTCTCTCTATCCCCCCTTCTCTCTCTCTCACTCTCTCTACCGAAACTATTCATCATTGGGAAATATTATGAATAAAATGATGAAATGCAGAATGGCAAAATTATGAACGAGTGAGGGTAAAATTACAATCGAACCTTATCTGTGTAACAAGCTAGTGTTGACAAAAAAGACAAACAATTGACAATGAAGAAGATTGCAAAGAAGCACACAAATTATCCGTACGATGAACGATTCTCAATTTGGAATATATGTAGTTGTCACAACAAAATAAAAAAAATATTAATTAAAACTGAATTAGGATGTCGTTTCATATGAAACAGTCAAGTATGTACGCAACAATTCAACGATTTTAAACTATTCGAGCGCACAGAATGAAAATAAAAAAAACGCGCACACACACAGAATAACTGATCAACAAAACAGAGAATTCGAAATTGAATTTCAACTATAAAAACTTAAGCAACATATTTCAACAAATTGGTATCAATCTGTTATCTGTTGCACGATGTTGCTTGTTGTTTTTCCAATGTTGAACTGAGGTGAAGTTACTGCCACCCGATAAAATCAACCCATTGAATATGTCATACTCCGTTTAACAGTGTAGTACTAATAAGTGTTGAGTTCACACATGCCAATGTTGACAACTGAACTATGAGTTATATGTACACTGATCACAATCTGTTTCCATGGTGAATTATTATGTCATAGAGTTTCATTTATTCACCACTCATTTTACAAATTTGTTTATTATTAATATTTGAATGAAACTTTTCACTATTTTCTTTCGGTTTTTTTATTGCCTAGATTTATTGAAGAGAAAATAATTGAGAAACCAGAATTATTATTATTCGTTGGCGTAATCGGCCTTCTAGTCAATTTAATTGGTTTGGTTTTGCTTTACGGTAAGTATATTTTATACCGATTTTATTTGACCGATTTTATTGTGAAACATTAAATTTTTAAAGCCAATTAAACAAACCACTTATTACTAATTTAGAGCATGGTGGTCACCATGGTCATTCACACGGCATCACACGATCGAATAATAAGCTGTCACAACTAGCCAACACCGATGACAATGAAAACAATTCATTTGTTTACTCGGAGGAGGTAAATATCGTTGATTTTCAAATATTTTTAAGCGTTGTGCATTCGTAATGATTTATTTATTCGTTTTATTTTTTTTCAACATAGACACAGAAACAAGAAAAGAAATCAAATGGTCACAATCATTCACACAATGCGACGCATATGAATATGCGTGGTGCATTTTTGCATGTTCTCAGCGATGCACTTGGCAGCATCATTGTCATAATTAGCGCTTTAGTTGTTTGGCTGAGCGATTCGCAATATAAAAACTACATAGATCCAGCATTATCAATTCTACTTGTGATTCTTATTCTACATTCAGTGTGGCCACTTTTGCGGGAAAGTGCATTGATTTTGCTACAAACAGTTCCAACACATATTCAGGTTTGAACATCTCATTTTCAATGGATTTATTATGTATTTACACAAACACACAAATTGGTTTTCGTGAATTTCGGTATCAATAGGTCGATGCCATTCAAAAGCGGCTACTTGAAAAGGTAGACGGTGTATTAGCCGTTCACGAATTCCACGTATGGCAATTAGCCGGTGATCGTATCATTGCATCTGCTCATATTAGATGTAGAAATTTATCCGAATATATGAAAATAGCTGAAAAAGTTAAAGAATTCTTTCATAACGAAGGCATTCATTCAACAACCATTCAACCAGAATTTTTGGAAATTGAAACAATGTACAATACCACTGGTGCGTACATTTTTCAACTTTTTTACTTTCACATTTTTATTCAATTTTGATTCAAAAATTTTGAAAGAACCAAAAAAAAAAAAAAAATTCTTTCTTCAAAATTTAGATGGTATCTCAACATGTTTAAATGTGAATGGTTCTCAGGACGGTTGTGCACTTGATTGTCCAACCACCGAAGAAGGATGTGTCAAAGCCACATGCTGCCAAACAAATAATAAGGTATATCCAATAAAAATGTCTCGCTGATAATGAAAATGACTAAAAAACTATCTCCTGTTACCACCACTTATCTATGTTTCTGTATGAGAGTGCAAGAGATTCAATAAGTCATTTTCGATCTCAGCCATACAAATATTGAGTTATAATATCTTGATTTATCACATTCTCAATAAAAATTACAGAATCAACAGCCATCACCATCGGCATCTCCATTTTTGGTTCGTCAAAGAAACTCCAATTCACGAAATGAAAATGACATTGAGACAGGTATATTAAAATATTAAACAATTTAAATCATGATGACGACTAATTTTCATGGTATTTCCATCACATCCCCATAGGATCATTGTTGAAGTCCACAAACAAGACGGCACCGACAATAGTACCATCTCAAAACACTGACCACCAACATCTGTCAGTTTGACGAACAAAACCAAACAACAGTGATAATTCAGATTACACCACGTAGACTTAGCTAAAAAAATGAGTTTTTAGTAAATAATTTGTTTTGTACTGTTAAATAAAAAAAAGAGAAAATAATTTGAAAAAAATTAACAAAAAAAAATAGATCGAAAAAATAGAAAATTCAAAGAAGACAAACAAAATGAAACATTACAACAAAAATGAGAGATATAACAAATGCAATCAAATGCCTTCAATTGCTTTATTAAAAAAAACAGAGCGAAATAACAACAAAAGAGTAATTAAAATCTAATTGATGTAACATGCAATTGCAATATTTACCATTTATTGTTTACGACAGATGATATAATTGTAGTTTGAAATGTTTTGTTTTTCTTCAGCAATCATATCGTGATCGCTGCTGGTTTGATGCTAAAATATGAATATATTTATCAATAGAAAAGTTCATTGAATTGAAAATGAAGATGAAACCGAATGAAACAAAAGGGAAATATGACGTAATTCGATCATTTAAAAGACTTTAATTAGTGTACATTTTTGGACAAATAGACAAATTAAGACGTTTGAAAGCAAAGCAAAATGTCTTTCATTCGTATTATTTTCATTTTAAGCTTTGATCAAATTAATATTATTCAAGAACAAACATACAAAATATACAAAAAAAAAACCGATAAATTTCAATCTCTCTCTATGTCCCATTCACTGAACGAATTTCCATTTCGAACTGTTTATGGTGAGTACTGAGTAGGCTGTGTTGTTCACTCTATCTTAATAGAATTTACTAATTATTATCACACCAAAAATAAATCTGACCGTATTTTAAACCGCATATTAACAAAAATGATGTGCAAGAGATCGTCTCACAGAAAAAAAAAGAAAAACTTAGTTCCATATACAAATAATTTAGATTCGTCAATTGTTTGAAGAAAATGTGAAATAATCTATAGAAAAAATAACTTAGAAATACAAAGTCGAACTAAGTTAAAATGTTCATATTCAATCGAATTTTGCAAATTATACAATTAATAATTACTACTTCAAATACAGCATTTAATTATGTACAAAAGAAAGAGAAGAAAAAGAGAGATAGAGTAATTTAAAAACCATCATTTTTGGAATCAATCTGGAATGTTATCGTTTTCGACCTTTGAATACATACATTTTGTTCAATGTTAAACTGTTTACATGCATACTAAAAGAAACAGGTCAATGGATTCAATATAGAGTGATAATTTAAGTCTGATGTTTTTTTTACCTTTCCCTAAGCCTAGTATTCAATATCGATGTTTTTCATTTTTACCTTCAAATATATGATCAGTTTTACATTGTGCAGACTAAATGTTTTATTTCAAATGGACGTTAACTTGAAATTCGAGTTTCATAGCGAGATTATCACATAAAATCGATACATACATAGAAATTCGTTTTCGCTCGAATCACTTCATTAAATACATATGTGACAGAAATTTCATTTAAAAAAAATTGAAATTTATTTATCAGAATGGCATTAAATAGTTGCAATCTAATTCGATATTAAGGTGAGTGAGTTAAAACAAAGAAAAAAAAACTGCTTATACAAAACGTTGTCTTGTACACCGATCTTGTTATCGGTCTTACATTATCGGTCACCCCGGATATAGGTGATTTAGATAAGCAACGATGTGTGCATGTCGCCACTTGAACATAAAAAGAAAACCGAAATCTTCCGATAATTCGGAGTACAAAGTTGTTATTGTATTTTGTCCAAGTCGTGTGTGTGTGTGTGTGTATTTTTTGAGTTGTATTCGTTCATATCATGTCGAATTATAATGCAATTCAACATGCCAACACTCTCATATGTCTGTTGCAGACATAAAAAAAAATAATGGATTAAAGTTGTGATCAATATTTACAAATAAAAATGAAGAAAATATAATCGCCGCTCGATTTTAATTTTGCTTATTCTTTATTGGCTTATTTTGGCTATGGTTTCTAAATTAATGTGACATTGAGATTTTTATTTCTTAAATTTCGTTTCACAAAAGCAAAATGTGTTTTCTTCTATCCTCTAAAATCTGGATCGGCATCGGAATTCTCATTCTCTTCGTCATCTTCTTCGTTTGCATCCTGCTCCTTTCGACGCTTTGTATATGCTCGTTTTGATGTGACTGGAGCTTGATCAGTTTCACCGTGCATCAATGCGTTTTTATAATTTTGTAACGGTTGCCAGTCTTCTGCTCGACTCGATGGCATTCCCGGTGATACGCGTCGTTCCAAGAAGTTCAATCTATTTTTGAAATCGTTAAAATCGTCGTTATCATCAAATCAACTTTTGACATCCATTCAAATTGATACTTACACAACTTTCTTATCTTGTTTCAACAATTTGTTTGTGAATTCATTCAAAATCTCAAGGAATAGCAAGCATGGTGGTGGTGCTGACGGATCATCAAAGGCATCGCTATTGCTTTGCACAGCAAATAATATACCAGCTCGATGTAATGAAATGATGGCCTCCCGATTTTTCACCGCATCCAAACCGAATGAAAGTGCAAATCGTTTTGCCAATTCCTAAAAAAATACATTTCAATTTGGATTCTTGACAAATTCTTTAATGTCCGACATACAGAGAACTGTTATAGGCACTTATTTTTTGTAAGTACTGCTCTTTCTTGTATTCGGGTGCAGCACTTCAAAAATGTTTTATGGAATAAGTGCGCGTGCTATAGTGAGTGCCAATAACAGCTCTGCCAATATAATCGATCCTACCTTTAAATCTGTGAATGCTTGTGCATTTTTCGATACATAAATCGAATCGTTGACCTTTTGTATTTCCTTGTATGTGGTAATCAGACTCATACACATTGTGAGTGCACAATTGATTTTGTTGATTTCACGTGCTTTTCCCATTGTTGCTTTTATTATGTCTCCGTATTCATTGTAACACTGGCAGAAGATAAACTAAAAATCAGATTCTCTACTCACACACAAACGGATCTGTTCAAAACTTACGCGCAGATAATGCTTAAAAATATCCGCAGCTGACTTGATCGGGATTACATTGTACACTATCAATTTGCAGTAGGCGGCCAAATAGTTTCGCTTTTTGTGCAATTCTTCGATGCGTGTTTCATCATGGCTCTCTACAAATTCATGAAAAATGAACATGAAATAACTGTGCAAACATTTGAAGAGGATGAATAACAAACCTTCTTCTTGTGTAGCAAATACATAATGCTGAACAAATCCATTCAGCACAGCTTGCTGTTCGGCCGTTGAAATAAAATGAAGTTTCTTATAAACGGGATTTATCGAAGCCAGTACGTCCGAGAAAATGATCAAGAGGTCACAAATTGATTTGAAAGCCTAAAAAAAATGAGTTAATCATCAAACTGAACTACATCTCTAAACGATTGGCTGCTATACTTACTGCTTCTCGAATTTCAATAACTTTACTCGATCGCACTAGTTCAGTGCAGACGTTCATAAATTTGAAGAGATTTCGTTGCAGAATTAACGACGCCTCTTCTTGATTTTGTGGTTCGCATGTATTTTCCAAAAAGTGTTGTCCCCATGTTATTGCGAAATAGCATGATTCGATGCAATAAACCAATGCCTCGTTTGGAAGTGCCTTGCCTTCTGCTGTCCGTGATTGGCACTCATCAAGATCCTCGTACAATGAATCGAAAATGCCCCATGGATTTAAATTGTGACACGAATACAAAATGGACACTTTCTTCAAGCTGACAATGATGTTGAATATTTCGTCTTCGTTTGGTACCTCTTCACCGGCAATCAAATTACGCCAATCGTCGATGGCCTCTTTGTAACGATTTACACATTGATCGATGATATTTGATCGTGCAATATCACATTTTGTGAAAATGCCACTGCCTTCTGTACACAAGAATTCCAATGTTTTTGAACACGTTTCGAGCACATCACGATCGTTGTGCATAAGCATTATGCTGCCCATTTTATCCAAAAATGCTTGTAAATTCTGATTTTGAACACGAAAATAAAATTATAATTATGCAACGAAAGTTTGTCATTTTTTGCCCAAATATAACTTACAGCCTCTTGTCGGGAATTGGTATAAACCACCAAATCGAAATATTGTGGAATGGCCATCAAATTGGCTAGTTTCTCAGCATCGGCACCGTACCGTTGCAACAATGTTGGTAATGTTTGTATGAAATGTTCAGTCATCTTTTGTTTGTCTTCTTGCACTTGTTTCACCTCTTTGGACGTTTGTGTCTGAATTATTGGGTTAACATGGTTAATTATCATTTAAGTTGTGTTATATGAGTGATTCAAGGTAAATATACCATTTTGCGACTTGTGCCGCGTCCAACTGGCGGTTCACCGCTAGAACACTGTCGAACAGCGCTAACCATAATCTCAATCAATGTTGACTCTTGCTTATTGTCCAATTGTTCTTCGTTCGGTCCGGGCTCTTCCATCAATAGATCGGTCATACATTCCCAGTCTTTCACCATTGGATTGTTATCAATGAATGAATCCACCAAATATGCGCCGTGCTCGTGTAATTCAGATTCAATGAAAAATTGTACCAAATCCCGAATCAATGGTGTATTCGGCAAACGTTTTTTGCCACGTTTCGTCTTAACAACATCGATTGAATCTTCATCCAAATGGAAAAGTCGTACATTCAAGAATTCAGCGGCCGCCTGAGCAACACCACGATGTGACGAATACACCAATTCATAAACGATTTCACAATCTTTGTCCGTTAGAATGTCTGGATGGATTCTTGATTTTTCAAATTAAAAAAAACGGATTCAATGACATTGAATATAACATAAGATCCATTTTAAAATGTGCTTACTTGAGAATGCTGATCACCAATTTAACCGCAATGACAGCCACATCAAATTCCTTATCCAATGTCATGGCAACAATACGATCTTTAAATTTGGATGTGAACAATTCCAGTTTGCCTTTGAGATCTTCAGATGCGTACAGTGGCAATAAAGCCTGTAAGCACCGCAAACGAACATCGCCAACCTGTTACAAATCGAAAATAGTCACGTTTCGTGTTTATTTGTTATTCTTATTGGAATGTTGTTTGACAAATATACCTTGTCATGTAGGGTCCAACCGATGTATTTGAGGTAGGAATCATCCAGGAAATTTACTGGAAATTTAATCATCCATACACCAATCTCACTCATGCATATGCCCCGAATCTCGGGCAATGTGTCTCGATATCTGTGCACAAACACCGATTTGAACATGTAAGTCAACATGTTTTTGATTTCTTCCATGTTCTCTTCCAATTCAGTGCGTTTTGTCAATAACGATTCCAATCGATCATTGGCACGTTTATCTCGTGTTTTTAATCGTTCAGTTTCATATTGACGTGCTGCATTGTCAAAATTAACCGATACCAAGAGTGCAACGTCAACCAAAGCCGTCATAAGTTTCATGGCCGCCAATGTGGCCGTATGACGAAAAGCACGAACTTGTGAATCCGATAAACCGGTTAGCAATGAAATCAAATGGTCCATTAGAAATTGATCGAAAATAATTGAATACTGGCATTGTTTGACGAGCGTTTGCACAAAATCGCAAAAGTTTACTTTGAACTTTTTCCATTGTTGACCTGGCATTATCAATGGATATTCACCACTTTCCTGTTTGAAAAAAAAATAAGATCACATTTGTAGAATTGTTTAAAATCAATAAACAAATTCGTCACGATGCGAAAATACTAACTTCATCGAATTCTTCTGTCATTTTTCGAATGATAACGGTGTGTTCCATAAATGATATTTCAGGTGTAATGCGACCTTTACAACCACTTGCATTGATGAAAAACTGCATTAAAACCATGAGTGCAAGGTCTCTGTCCTGCTTATAACTCTCAATCCATTCATCAACGATGCTCTACAGGCGAAAAAACAACCACAATCAATTATATTTTTCATGCTTATCAAGAAACAATGCTTCTTATTCTTCATACCGCTATCGCTGATTTTGAGTTTCGAATGATGTAGTATAAACTGTTTTCATCCTCTGTTACATCTCGTTCATTATCACGACGATTGTCATGATGAACAACTGGTGGTTTCTCCACAATCGGTTTTTCTATTAAAAAAAAAAACATCAACAGAAAGTTAAAATGTATACCATAAGAGATAGATTTAAAATTGCGATTTTGAAAAATGTCCATTAACGCACCAACTCGTTCCACAACTTTTTCGACAACTAGCCGAGGTGGACGTCCTGCTTTGCGCTTACGGGTTGATTGTGTCGGTGGTGTCGCACGAAATATTTCCTCATCGTCATCATCAATAATTGGCGGCCGATCACGTATACCACCCCTAGCCCTCAATCTAGTCATGCGACCACCTTTAACTGGTGATTCTCCATCGCCTTGATCTGAATAACTTTCATTCAAATGATCACTACTGCCACTAAAACATAAAATATACAGATTAATTTTGTGAATCTTCATTGGTGCGCAATTTGATTTGTTTCTCACTAAATACATACCCAACACCGCCACGATACATATCTTCTTCATATTCCATCGGAACAGGATCATCCATTCGGATGCGTTTGCCACCTCGTCTTGGCATCCTATAGGAAAAAGACGAAAATCAACAATCGCACATAACATTACCGCTCAACATTCCATTAGTTTATATTGTAAACAAGCCTTCGTATACACGGAATGAGGCGTATTCGTGGTATAATTTGGTTTCATCAAAAATACTTGTTACTTACATCATTTTGAAGGTTTTCTTCTTATTATTATTCACCGTATCAAAATAATTCAATTGTATTCACTATTTTTATGAATTTTTTTTTTTCATTTAAACAAAATATTTGGTGTAAATGTCGTTTGTTGTTTGTGCATTATGGAGTGGTTTCCATCTTTAATTTAGAAACGCATCTGTCATATTGTTTGGCTTTTTCTTTTAGTACACACATTTAGTACTAGTTTTGACGTATCATATAAACAGACACAATACCGAATTGTATTCAACGCAAACGGATTCTGATTTTATTTGTCTGTTTTCGAAAATAGTTTTTCTATTCTATAACACAATAAGAATAAAACCATCTCATATGGGAAAAACAATTATCTTTACAATGTTATTCAGCTAACTTTGAATTCATAGTAGTTTTTCAATTTTATTTCAGCTGAATGTGAAATATTTTTGAAATTACAATTATTCAAAAACAATTAAAATGAATGTGACTAAACTATTCTATTGTTGCTATGTGGTTGATCTTCACACAATACTGAATCTAACGAGGATCATAGTTCTCTGAGTGGCCAAAGTCATGACGAATATCCCGCTTACATACTAATATTTTTATACTATTATGTATTTTTCATTTTTAGTGTTAGAATTGCTTTAACAATTGCTTAGTGGTTTAATATTAGAAAATTTATATTTTTAAACTGAAATGAAACTGATGTTCCAAAGAAAAAAAAGTACATCAAGTTTTTCAAACGCCTGAATATAAGAAAGAGCACCACTTAGAAGAAAAGTGGCTGCACCTCGATGGTGCCTATAACAGATCTGTTTGGAAGAAGATTGCTATCTGAAAATATCCGACTTCAAATAAAAATCTATCAAATTGATTCAAAAAAATACGTTATTTATTATTTTATGATTCTTCATTCAATCATCCTGAAAAAAGAAAAATCGTTTCTCATTGATCTGCTTATCAAACAATATAGTTAAAATGGAAATTCGTCAAAATGTCGGTGAATTCATTATGTCCATAAAATTGATACCGTCAATAATTTATACTCGATTCATTTTTGGTCACTTTCGCACTTAACTTATATGTTTAACCGAATTAATATGAAACCTGGTTTTCAGATATTTAATGTTTTGGTAATCAGAAAAGTACGCTTCAGGAAGACTTATATAGTAAATGTTAGAAAAAATTAACATTAAGTTTTCATTTTGATGAAAATGTACATTTAATCATCGACATAATCACCTTCCGATTCAATACATTTGGTCCAGCGGCTCTCTAACATATTTATACCTTCTTCATAATATTCAGAAACGAATCTATCGAAATATGCGTTTGTTTCGGTGATAAGTTCATCTTTTGAATAGAATTTCTTTCCACTAAACCATTTTTTCAAGTTCGGTAACAAATGATAATTGCTGGGGGCCAAGTCCGGTGCATTGTTTGGATGTGGAAGCACTTCAAAATGCAGTTGATTCAATTTTTCTGTAAAGTGTTTGTTATTATCATGATGAAATAGAACTACTTTCTGTGGACGTTTTTCTTTAATTTCGTTATTTAATCTGTCTAACAACGAGGCGTAATATTTAGTCGTTCTCTTTTGCTCGCTTTCAATATAATCAACAAATATGACTCCAAATGCGTCCCAAAAAATTGTCATTCTCATCATACACGATTTTTTTGGCCGCTTCGCTGTATTTGCGCCGTGTTTACCTTCCGAGTCAAAGTAATGTATCCACATCTCATCAACTGTTATAAATCGAGTCAAAAATTCTTTTGGATTCAATTTAAATCGTTTCAAATTTTGCTGGGCAATATTGGCGCGTTCCTCTTTTTGGTCCAGATTAAGCGTCTGCGGTACCCAATGTGCGAATAGCTTTTTCAATTTCAAATGCTCATGCAAAATTTTAAACACTGAACCATGCGATATACCGGTTGTCTCAGCAATTTCACGTACTTTTAGCTTCGGATCGCCAAGTACCAGGTTATGTAATTTTTTAACCGTCTCATCAATAACTACCTCTTTTGGCCGACCTGGACTCGGTACGGTGCTGGTACTCGTGCGACCGCATTTGAATTCAGTAAACCACTTATGGATCGTTGCAGTTGCTGGTGCAGAGTCCGGATAATGCTTATCGAGTGCATTTTTCGTTTCGGTAATGGTTTTTTTGCGCAAAAAGTAATGTTTAATTAAGACACGAAATTCATCCTTTTCCATTGTAATATGAAATAAATGGTCGATTGAGTGATTTCAATTGCCAAAACTCGGGAACAAATTTACGATTCGGTACAATTTTGACAGTAGTCCTTTAAAGATGTTTATTTGTCACTGAAATTGTCAAAAACGAAATGAATTCTGTACTGGTGGAGCCACCTGTTATAATTTTCAGGTCAATATTGATCGACATAGTTGCAAATAATCGAAAAAGAAGATTTTTTTCCCAGATAAAACAGTAATTGGTATTTCAAATGATGGAAATTTTGAAAACGCATGGAACTAATGAATATTGAAGCTTACATCCTTGATCATCATTTAATAAATGTATCGTTTATCGCAAGCTCAATTAAAAATTGTACGCTTTATGATATGGTGTGTGCACTGTTGTTTCCAATAAAATGTGACGATTTTAAATTATGGATGATACGGAAATTGCGTCATTGGTAATATAAATGAGTGTATTTATTTAAATTTTAAATTCTGTCTGACATTCCGCAGAGTTTATTGTGTCGCATTGAATCAGAGAGAAAAGTGATATTTTAAAATATAACAACCGAAAGCCGCTTTTTTCTCTCATTTTTTTTTAACAACCGTAAAATTTTTGCACGAGTCATTTTGGCTGCTTCAGTAAGTCATAGAGTCATACGATTCTCTAAAATGCATAAAATATTTTTTTTCCGTTACTTTGGTGTGCCGATGCATGCTCACCAAATCATTATCGGAATAGTGGAAAACTTAAATCAACAACAAAAAAAAACAGTCAAAATAATTAAACGGAACAAATTTGTACCAGTAATTACATGTCAGAATGTCATTTTTCTTTTGAACATTTTGAGACGATGAAAATTAATTGGAAGCTGAGTCATTTGCATGAACCATTCACTCCAAATCTGTCACAAATGAAACGCGTCTACAATCATCGGCTTGAACTTTATATACCACAAAACGCGCACAGAAAGAAAAAAAGAATAAAAAAAAGTTCATTGGAAGCGCGCAGCCCATTAAGAGCAGTAAAATTAAAAAAAAATCTAATGAAAATACAATTTGGAAAAAGACAACCCACCATAGTTAAGGTCCAGAACCGTTAACAATTTTGACTTGATGAAGAAGCAGCACCGTTTCACATAAACAACGATAGAAGAGACATATTATAGCCAACGAAATTTTTTTGAAGGGAATGCCGAAAAAGGGACACACTCACAAATAAATTCGATAGAAATATGATCGAGAGTGCGTAAGAGAGAAATGGAGTTAGAGGGAGAGTGAAAAAAATACATATATAAGAAAATGAACAACAAAAAATAATATAAAAGAAAAGATACCGACAAAGGCCAATTTCACACACATGTGTGTGTTCGTGAACTAATTTCCATATTCTGAAAATTGACAAAGCAGTAAATTCGCTTCACTTTGTTTTGGTACTCTGGGTTGGCGGTTCCGTCTTCATCATGCGAGTGTCACATTGCGTAACTAATAAATAACATTTTCGGTATGGAAAAAAAAGTGTTTCCTTTGAAAAAATATTAACATTACGACCATAAATAAATATAGATATTTTCTTGTGAGCCATGCGAGCGGGTTCGATTTCAGATTTGTTCGGAATGATTTCAGAACCGACTGAATATATGATAAATTGGCTGACATTATTGGATATTAACATCTTTTATGCCATCTGATCTTTGGTTTGTTTCTGTGCGATGAGGCGCGCATTGAATCACAAAATAAAGGCTCAACATCGTTATGCTGCAATGAACACATTGCCCTGCCAAACAGCAGCTACTTCAATTGTGGTGGCCTTGTGCCTCTTGTCTCTTATTTTGGTCTTTCATTTATTTTATGTGTGAAGTAATCTTGTGTATGCGTGTGTGTATTTCCTTAATCTTTTTCGGTAGCAAACCGTAACTAGAAATTTGAGACAAACTATCCATTTCGAAATTGTCCATGTGATGCAAATCGAGTTTCACACTCATGCATTTTTGTTGCATTCAAACACTTTCTACAAATGTTCTCGATGTTGTTGTTTTCTTTTTCTCCTTTAACTTGTTACATTATATTTCATTTAAATCGTCTGATGTTTTACCGAATGGCGATGGAGGATGTATAAACGTAGCAACATGAATCAACTTGAGAAAAAAAAAGAAGAAACACTTCACTACCGCTCTATTTCGATCAGCATCACAATGCCACTAATAATGAATTAAGTTGTAATTTCTGTATTAAATACATTTGCTTCGCTCACTTATTATTATTTTTGAGATGCAAAACGTTGCATTGTTTCTATTGATTGGAGTATGTTCAATAGGTAAATATCCGGTACGATCGTAACACTTTATATGTGATACATTTGAAATGATTGGCTTTGTTATGGGATTAGTCACGTTCTATTGGAAAAACACATAAATACATGCAAAATCGACTGCGATAACACCAAAACCATTTGTTCTTGAAACATATATTTATGTTCTATATTTTTGTTTCTAGTACACAAAACAAGAAGAAAAAAGTGTGTGATTTTTGCAATAAAATATTACTACCGAAACCACAACACTTGTTCCATTTCTATTTCTTTATTTTGTTGCACTATATTTGATATTTTGGCGCATACATATTTGCTTTAATCATTTTGGACTAGTTAAACGATCGTTGTTTTTCATTTTGTAATTACATTGTCATCATAACATATCCAAAAGGCATGCAAATCTCTCTACGACTCGAAACAACTGTTTGCTGTTGCATACTTTGTTCGATATATTTCTTTTCTTTGCATTCGATTCTACCCGTAGCCATGAACGATCATAAAAATTGGATTATCGCATCTTTTGTTTTCCATGCCAAATCACTTTTTTTCACTTTCATACAATTTTATGCCATGCGCGATGTTTACTTTGAAATATGAGCACAAAGTTATTACACAAAGTGTTTGTAACACTCTTTTTCACTCTGCTAGTTGACCCAAATTTGCCAAATGCTTCATTTCTATCGGGCATTATTTGGCTTACTCATATTATTTCCAAAAAAGGATAATGAAACGGGTCACAACTGAGATATATTAGAAATTGGAACCAAATAATAATAATTTTTTTTGGAGATGAGGCCAAAATCAATTTACATTTTTTCCACCTGGACTTTTCGATCTTGCACATTTATGATAGCAATGCTGATAATTTCAATAACTTTAAGCTTACATTTAAGTATTCAACTTTGTTTTTTTACCACCTATAAAGTATCAGTTCGTAAAACTTTATGATTATTTGTGGTGAAATTGGCATACGTAAATAATGTAACAAGTCGATAAGAAAACGGAAAAATATATAAAATTTGAATGCATTCAGAATAAAGATTCAATTTTAATGTACTCTTGGCGTTTGATGAAAGTACTCTTTTTGTTTGTTTTATTCAAATTTAATTTTAATCCGTGAATGTCAATTTCTATTCTTTTAGCGTAGCTTTTTTCAATGAAATAATTCAATTACATCACAATTATTATCGGATTTAATAGTCTCGACGTCGATCGGCTTCGGAGTTGAAAAATTGCCTCCGTTGTGAACTTTGCTAAAAACTAAATCTGGTTCCGATTTCTTTTAAATAGTGAGTGCATTTGATAAAGAACCGATCATAATCGGACAAGCTAATAATTTTTTTTCGCAAGCTAATCATTAAATACTGAAACTATTCTCAGAAATGCTTTCGTCGTCAACATCTTTGGACGAAAGCAAATGACACATTTCAAGCTACTGTTTGCCACGAGAAAATTTGAGCATTTAAACTATGTGCATGAGTTGCGGTTTTTTTCGAAAACTGTCTTCTTCAACGATTGAAACTGTCAAAAAATGACATGATGCGTCAATCCGTTTAGCTAATGAAGGGATCACATTTCGTTCCTTTGAGCATATGCTTTTAATCATACATTTTCAAAATAAATATGTTTTGAGTGGATTTATTTTGAATAAAATCGATGAATTATCGCCAATAAAGTTCTACTGGAATAATATGCAGCCATTTAAAAAGAATGGTTTGAAAAATCGTATCTGTGATATTTTTTTTTATCAAAGAATCATTAATCGCTGTTAAACTATCAGTTAATTTTTCACCAACTTTTCATAATATTCGTTCAAATTTGACATCGGAATGCGTCGATCCTTCAACATTTGACAAATCGAGAAAATATTGCAACATGCGAGTCATTAAATCTTTGGTTAAATTAATTTGCTGACGGAAAATTGTTTTTAAAATTACCAATTATTCATCAATGGCACACATAACTTGCCAAAAGTGTACGATACAAAATTAGCACATGTTCTGTTGGTCTTTTTTACTGAAACATTTTTATCGATTATTTACCAATGGATTCAAATTGTAATTGTCGTAAGTATAATTGCCATATTTCATAGTGAAAATAAAGGCAAAGTGCTTGATTGACTCGACAAATCAATGCCATGCACCAATAGATAGCAAGAGCATTCGCTGCATTGAAATCAATCATTTCGTGTGGTTGCGTATCGTTAACAAATTTCACCTCTTCATACATTTACGACAAAAATCACAATTTGAATTGCGCGTATATGTGAAACATGTGTAGCATCCAAATGTGTTCGGAACGACAGTCTATTACAAATTAAATCAAAGCATGTCTTGAAAACATTTAAGTAAAACACGTGTTTGTCGCATTTTCAACATTTCCTTGGTATTTTGATTTGGCCTTTTTTTTCCTCTTACATGCACATTCTACAAATGGAGAAGAAAGCAATGTTCCATCAGCGCTCACTCTTTCTTTCTACAGTAGCTATGATGCGCCCCATACAACCACCATATTTCGTTTCGAATGCAATTTTTATGTTAATGTTATGAAAATGTGTGTTGACAAAAAAAATAACAAAAATTTAATTTTCACCACACACAAAAAACAAAAAACAAACAATTTTATTCTTCTTCCATTTATTTGGTTCTTTTTTGTGATGTTCCGCCTTCTTTTTTCCACTTCGTTCGTTAAAAATATGAACATTAGCCGTCATGATTAATTTATATCATTTTTATGGCTTGCAATATAGAGGAGTGCAGCCAATTTGTAAACTAAATACGAATGCATACATAATGAACCAATGTCAGCATTGTGTAGATATGTGAAGAATATACTGTAAAATATGATAGCAATCTGTTTAATTCTTTATACATGATGAACAATTTTCAGTTGTGATGTGAATGAAAAATCAGAGCCTGAGGAGAAATAACAAACGCAACGCAAAATAATACACACAAACTATCAATTGGAACCTAGGGGAAAATCAATTCTAATTTATAACTGGAATTAATATAGATTCTTAACATATATGCAAATATTCATTGACATACCATTTATGCCTGTTAAACGGTCAAAATAAAATTTAACTGAAACAAAAAAAAAAAAATAAACAAAGAGAAGTTACGACTGTCCAGACTTGCATCGAATAGAAAAAAAGTCCCAAAAGTATTCGAAGAAATATTTACTCATTAATACGAAAATTATTTAAAATATCTCGCATTCCCATTTCCAAGTGAAAATTGTTAAATTTTGTTACTATGTGCAGTCGACTGTTATTTTTCGATTTTCCTCGCTGCTCTCCATCTCGAATGTTTCATGTATGATTCCGTAAAGACAAAAAGTCAACCAAAACAGCAATTTAATTTAACATGTATGCTGAATGTTCAGGAAAAATCCAGTGCTATATTTGAGGCGAGACGTTCTCTCGCCAGCGAAAAAATCATACACAAATCCGTTGAAAGAAGGATCTTTTGTGTGTAGACATATTTTGCAAAAACATACATATTACGGAACCACATCCAATAATAAATTCGTTTGTACATAGCTTCACAATTTTTATCACGCTCATTTTGTCTTTGTTTTCATGCGTGCTCTCGCGACTACGTTTTATTTGAGTGTGTTGCTTTTTTTATTGTGAGAGAACGAACGCACATTTTTTGGTCTAAAATTACGATGCAACAAGTTTTTTTTTTGCCTTCTCTCTCCATTTGATGTAGAGCTCCATGTCGGTAATAATAGTATTAATATGGTTGTTTCTGTTAACAGTTTATCACAGAGATTTTGTCAATCGACTGCTTTTATTTCGGTCGGCAAATGATAAAAGTAAATGACTCTACTCCGAGATGATACGAATAAATAAATTTCATAGTTTTTTTTCCAAGTGCTTATAATAATAATAACAAAAAACACTTTTTTCCGATTGTGTATCAAACAAGGAGTTTTTTATTGGTAATTTGTCTTAATATCTAAATAAATAGATTATCTTACAATTATGATTTATTTTCTGAGCAGTTTCATTGTGGTAAAAAAAAATTATTCAAACCATATTCATGAGCAAATACATCAGAATTACTGGGAGGTGGTTGGTTCATCAAAATCTATTACAACAAATTCTTTTCTTCCTAATTAAATATAAAAAAGACACTTAAACTTGAACTATCAAAATCATTCAGATTAATAATATTGTTGACATTTGTGCTCTTCAGAACACATTTTTTCGGCAATTTTGTGGTGCACACAGTGTGCGTTGCTTGCCATTTACAAAACAAGCTAATAATAATGGCTTGTTGTTGTTTTTTTTTCTTCTTCATTTTTATAATACTTTTTTCAAAAGTTAACTTAATAGAGATTCTAAACTGTATTCAGAAGTTCATTTAATTTTGCACCAAAGAGCATACACTATCACTTATATTAACGAATCCCATGTATGAGCAGTAAAGCTTTTATTTGTTTTTCCATCAATGAAGTTATTAGCGCTTAAATATGTTTTTTTTTTTTCTCATCAAATCCCTTCGAAATTCTCGAACACATTTTCTTGTTTGTTGTTTTATAATATCGTAATCGATTGACAAAGCATCATTCTTCGAATTATTAATACGACTAGTATGCACATGATTTAAATAAAAACATGGTGTACTATTTCACCTTTTTGAATAGAGTCGACATTAAAATTAAATCACGCACTAAGATATATTGATTGATCAATTCAAGAACGATGGTTAAAGTAAAACAACATTTTTTTTGTTGTGTTTGATTCATCTTTCTCATTACTGCATATTCATTTTTGCTCATTGTCAACTGTTGATTAAAATAGCAAAGATCATTCACTGGTATTTCCAACTAAGAATGCAGATTAGCAAGAATTTGTTCGTTGAAAACGCAATTTGAATGGATTTTTCATATTTGTCGCATAGCATTTTTCATTTTCACTCAAATCTGTTTTTAGTATCGTTTTGGATGGAATCAAACGATTGTCACATGTGCGTGACGATGTATTTCATTAGCAAGTCTTGATTTCTTGCTATATGACATGTGTGATGCGCAAAATGGCTCTTTGACCTGAAAAGTCAACCATTTTTAAATGCGATTCAATCGCTCACCTACGCTTCAATATGTAAATTTACAAAAAAAAAAAAAGAGAATGAAACTTTAAATTGGCATAGCATTGCAAAATAAATCATCTTAAATATACTCAGCGAAAAAGTGGATGTGTTTAATTTTTGTGTACTTTCGTAGGACCGTTTTTTTTCTTCTCATTTCTTTGTCGTCTTTTTTCAATTATAATGCTGTTCGCAGTTATAAAAATGTACACTTCATTTGATTTCTTTCAGGTAAATCGAACACATGATTTTTGCTCTAGTTTTTTATTAATGTTTCACGTTTTTTCGTTTGAGTATGTGTTAACTGTCTGACAATGAGTGACCATTCGCGTATACGACACTATATTCTCTGCAATTTTACATTTAGTTATACCAATTTATAATATAAAGCCTATTACACAATTCTAAAACGAAACTGGCCGGTATCTATGTACAATTTGGCTTAATAAAAACCTAGAACGATATATTTAAGATTTGTAGATGGCAAAATGAAAAAGGTAAATATTTTTTATATATATATTTTTTTTTTACTTGTCAAACTCAGTATATCTACTGATAATCGAGACAAACATTTTATAGATTCGTTTATACGGCATAAGAAATATTTTAAATCAGTGAGTTATAAATATAAAAAAGAAATGTTACATTTTCACTTTTTCATACCAAAAATATCGAATCATGATTTCAATGATATAGTTTGAGAGTTTTCTCCATTCATTCATCTATATTGGTTTGTTGACGGTCATTGATGGTGAAATGGAGTGAACTGAAGTAGATTTTATTTATTTAAGATGGATAAACTCTGTTTATATGTTACTAGGAGTTTTGAGATTACCATGTCCATGATGTAATGGTATGCCATTGTTTTGCATGTACATATGATGATACGTATTGTAGGATACTTGTTGTGTCGATTGAATTTGATCGTTGGCCACAACAGCCGACGGTATTTGATGTTGTGTTGTTGTTGGTACTGTTTGTAAAATGGTCGGACATGTGCCACATAGCAAAGCGGCTGGATGATGAACACTGGCTAAAATATCGTTGACCGAATGTGATGATGGCCAACAGTATGCATTTGGTACGGCTGATGATTGAGGCGGTGATGGGCTATTGCATGCGTTTGTTGTTGATTTTAACGATGTATACGGATACGATGAATAAATCGAACTATATAAATGTGAATGATGATTGGTTGCATGGCTTGAATGATTCACCGTTCCCAATTTATTGCGTAATATTCGTGATATCGAACTAACACTTGGCACATTATTTTTATCACAAACCCCTTCGGTAAGTAGGCGATCGCGTATCTCCTAAAAAAAATTATCAATAGAAATAAAAATAAATAAAGAAAGGAGATATTCATGCAATTTTTAGTTTCAAAAAAAAATTCTAGTTTTTATAGTGCGTGAAATTGGCCCTTCATATACAATGTGTATGCATTTTTTTTACTGAGAACCAACTTCACGCACTACTGTGCTAGTTGCTGCTAGTTTCACTAGTTTTTCTAGTATGAATATCCTCTTGGATAGTGGTGTCAACGAACGTTCGTTTTCGTTCGCGTTCGTCACGAAAACGAACGAACGAGAAACAAAATTTTCCTTTTGCGAATGAACACGCTCGTTCGTAGTGGCTATCCTTGCGAAGTGCGAACCAGACATTATATTGAGATTTTTTCAGCCAGATATCATCAGGCGCTGAAATTGAGTGAAAACAATAGAAGTGATGGTTATGATTACACTTTCGTTGCTACAATCACTTTTATTGTTTTAACTCCATTTCAGCTCCTGACGACATCTGGCTGAAAATATCTCAATATAATGTCTGTTACGAACACGTACAAATGCGAATAACAATTTCCACTCTACGAACAAACGTGTTCGTTCGTAGTGCGGGTCTTTACGAACGCAAGCGAACGCGAACCAAAAAAAAATATACGAACGAACATTTCTTTCTACGAACGCGTTCGTTGACATATCTCTATATCTCTATCAGTGATAGAACTGTCCTCAGTATAAAACTCAGATATTTAATACTTATACTAGTATGAATCTTTTGTTGCACTGACATTACATTTCTTCCCAAATTTTGTATGTTTGTTCAAGTTTGATGGCTAAGAAAATAGTTTTCTACAATTGGGAAATTCCGGTAGGATTTTCTTCAAATGTTTGTCAAAGAAATGACTTCTCAACAGAGCTGTGAAATATGTAATCTGCAATATATCTTTTAATTTTCCACTTGACCAATTCAATTTTTATTTGTCCTTCCATTTCCATTAAATGGCGCAATGTGAACAAGGGTTTACAAAATCTGACAAATTGAAGAAAAGAGAAGTTCATTTGGATCGAAAGGTACGAAAAAAAACTTATCGATTCGAAAGATAATTACATTAAGAACATCTTTGTGAGTCTTGATATCATTCTTTTTGCTAACGGTACAACAACTAGGCGGAAAGCAACATTTTCTATGAATATATTTTATTATATTAATAAAGAGGGCGAGTGTAAAGTGTTTCCCATATAACTCATTTGCGGAGCAATTTTGTTGATGGCGGGACTGTGCGGAGTTCGGCGGAGATAGCATGCAAATGCTGTGTGTACGAGTGCAACAGCATTCTTTGCTGTTCATAGATTTATTTTGTCCAAACGAACATCTTAGTAGTCGTACACACAGCTAAGTTACTAATCATCTGCTTAAGAATGATACACATACATAGAAGTGCTATTACCCTCGTACACACAGAGTTTGTATGTCATCTCCGCCAAACTCCGCACAGTCCCGCCATCGTCAAAATTACTCCGCAAATGAATTATATGGGTTGTGTATGAAACAAAAAAGCGTAATTCCGAAACGTGAACAAATAAAAATCGACGATGAAGCCGTTGAATGCAGACAATTTAAAAAGGCAAATGACAATCAAGGAATCATTGACGGGTTATAAACGGGTGAAATATGAGCAACATACAAGCACGCAACCGAACAGCGATACACCGGCCGATATACATTTTTATTCGACACCAAAATTGTTGAAATTTAAACTGAAGAAGGACAAAATCCTAAACCAAAGAGGTTTGAAACTCCACGAAAGGTTGAAAATAACATTTCGGGATCGATATACGTCAACACCGACTGCATCAATGGTTGAACGCGCGGACGGTAATTTTTCTAATTTTTTATTTATTTTAAAAAGAGTAATTAAATAAAATTCACAGAGAAAGATACAACAACAACAACAACAGCAACTACAGACAAAGATATTTATGGAAGAATGAAGTATACCGGCAGTAGCGACTGTCATACAAATGTGAAAAATGCGCGAACCGTTATACTACGAAACCAAGTTTGTATAACCACATCCGAACGGCCCACAACAACGCAAATACAAAAAATAGGTGCACCAAATGCGACAAAGACTGCACTACCAAAAAATTATTGAAGTGAGTTTAAAAAGTGAACTTAACCGAAAACAATATTTCACGAGACACATGGGTTCACACCACAGCAACACAGCATACAAATGTGATGTTTGTAACAAAGAATTCAAAATGCAAAGCAGCCTAACACTGCATAAGCTCAGCCACAAGGTTGAAAATCAAAAAGAGAAGAATTCGCACGATGATGATGACGATGTTTACGATCGTGATGACAATGATCGGCAATTGTTTTGTCCATTTGACATAAAACGACATGCGAAGTGATGCATCAATGGATGCTTTGGTATGGTGTTTTTGGTGTATTTTAATGACATAGGTTATTTGTGTTTGTTTTAAATTTACAGAGCGCACCAAGGGGCGAAGCAGTACTAGATTCAATTCTTTCAATTCCATTCAATTCCACTGAACTCTGTTCAATTCCAAATTAAATTCTAGTCCGTGTGTTTTAACTCATTTATTACTAAAATCGTAAAAAATGACAAAAAAAATAAATAATTTTTTTTTTAATTCTCAAATGCTGGTCAATTTTTTGTATCGACTGGTTCAATCAGAATCAAAAAATTCCCATTCTTTATCATCCAAATCACACATGGCGAATAATACACGCAAGTGTCATCAATCATATCTATTGAATATATCAAGAAGAGAGTATGTTATTCAGCGCTTATGGCTGAGTAATGTCTGAATTTAAACATACTCTCCTCTCGATATTTTGAATAGATATGAAACTCTCCTTTTAATACCTAAATTTTACCCCCCCTGTGATTTGGATGAGACAAATTTTTTCGTGAAAATTATTCGAATTTCGCGAAAAAAGTGAAGACCTTTTTTTTTTTAGCTCATCAATGTAGAAAATTGAGGAGAATTCTTTCAATTTGCTAGGGTTTTTGGTTCCGAGTGATTTCTTTCCGATTTGCTAGGGTTTTTCGCGGAGAAAATTCTTTCGATTTGCTAGGGATTTTCGCCTCAAAAAGTGACTTCCAAAAAAAAAAAAAAAAAAGAAAATTTGTCTGATTTGCTAGAGAATTTTTTGTTTTTGAAACTGTAAAATGTAGCTCGCACATAACTGATTTATATCTTTTTGTTTATATTTTGCTGAAAGTAAATCTTTTTTAAAATATTGAACTCATTCATATCATTCTCAATATGATAAAGACCAAAATAAGGTTAAGTTAAGTTCAAAAACGAGCAAAAAGTCTTAAATTTATAGAAAGTGATTCTATTTTATACTACTGGTTAACTATTTTATTATTTTAACTGATTAAAGATCGTTGAATTTTGAAGATCAAACGAACATTATTCTATAACCTGTTTTTCTTTTCTTAAAAACTCCCCACAGGTTAGATTTGTTAAAGGTCTGTACTATTTTCATTAACAATCAAACTAAACATACAAAATTCGATGAAGATTTTCCCATTTTCATGAATCATATTGGGAATATAGTGAATGGTTTACTCATTACAGGGTGCGTTAATTGAAGTGTTACATAAATATAATTCAATAATTTTTGAATTCGTAAACAGATTCTTTTGATCCAAAATACGAAACGTAGCTAAATGTTCCACCTTTATGAAACGCACCCTGTAGATAAAACATTACTGTAATAGAAATATACGTATAAAATTTTATACCCAAGCGAAGATCCCTTGGTCCTTTTGCTTCAATTCTCGTATGTAGCTAACGACTTTTGGTGTTGTGACTCGTGGCTTTGAACCGCCAATTGCACCTGGTAAAATCGAACCGGTTTCGTGATATCGGGCTAGTATTTTTGATACACAGCCATGACTGACACGTAACTGTCGTGATATATCACATGGACGAATTCCCAAACGAGCCAACTCGACAATGCGTAGCCGCGTTTGATTTGGCAGCGGTCGACCGTTCACAAACACACCACCCAATTGATTTACTTCACCATATTGCTGTGACTGGGATTCTGCGAGGAAAAAGAGAAAATTGAAGAGAAAAAAAAGAAAGAAAAGAACGCATATCGTGAAAACATAAAGAAAAGCGAATTAACGATTTAATGGCTGAAGTTCAACAAATAACAATTAATCAGCAAAATGTTACAGAACCAAACAAAAAAACCACAATTTTCTCGTGAATAAAGTTAGTAATAAAAACTATTAATTTTGAATTACAATGGACCGTTGACACCGAGAATTTTAAATATCATGCGAAATTGTTGTATATAGAAATGTGGCACTTCTGTTTGAAGTGGCTGTGATTTTTTTCATTTGTTTTCTCTTTTTACCATACAACAATGCGAAAATTGGCCGTTAATCTTTGTAGCATATAATAAATCACTGCGGCTCTTAACTTTATTGCAACTGGTGCAATGTGAAAATGTGGTCATCAAATGTAGTACATTTTGCATGGAAAATCAATCAAATCAATTACTTACTCTCGATTCAATTCCGTTGGAATCGATATTATTCAGACATTTATTTGTTGCCCGCCACTTGTAGCGTTTTGTAGCGTTTTCATCGTAAATACTCTCATTTCAGTTGGGTGAATATGATTTTCTTGGCTCAAATCAAAAACTAAGGCACACAGTCAAGTCGAGTTGAATATTCGTTCAAAAACGAAAGCGTACATTATCAAATGAGTAACATTTACTGTGAGAGGTTATTCAATGTGTCAGTTTAAAATTGATAAGAAATGTTCTTGGTTTCTACTCATATCGTTTCATTTTTTGTTTCTTGTCCGTTGTGAGCATCAGCGACTTTGACGTTAATGTGCTGTATTCGTTGTATACACGGATATTTTTGATCGATCGCGATCACTAATGCTAATTTGTACAACTGTAAACGTTTTCATTGACGACAATCATCATTTTTTTAATTCACACTCTGTATCGTATCAATTCGATTTAGAACCGTTTTTCTCTCATTTCATACGTCGATGGCAGACCTTACTTTTATACACATTGAACATTCCTGATAGAATATGACAAAACTATATGATGAATGGGGAGTTTTCGCTTCGCTCGTGCCGAATGTATTAACGAGTGTCAAGTGAAAAACGAACACATTTTAGTTCAAAGTTTAAGCTAATTAAATATGTAACGCAATAATCCATTAAAATATTTACTATTCAATAATAATTACAATGGAATTTCAATAAAAATATTTGACATGCACCATCGCAATGCTGATTAATAAAATCAAATATCATTTGACTACATAGTAATTTGCATTTTGGTTTCATTTCTCCCGAAATCCGTTGAATGGTGTGGGTTTTTTTTTTATTTCTACAAAAATATCATTATCTTTACGATTCATTCAGTTTAAATGCTGTTATACGTTGTATAATTTACATTTGCGAGATTTGCAATGAAATGTGCCGTCAATTTTAGCGGCACCATAAAAATGATGAAAGATGACAGTTTTGCCATTGGAAGAATGTTGCACCGAAAAATCATTTTTCTTTCTTCTTTTACTTTTCGTATTAGCTACTTTATGTGTTGATCGCACCGCAAGAGAGAGAGAGAGAGAGAGAAAAAAAATACCCGCACACACACTTACTTTGTCTGCGGTAGCATGTGAGCATATGAGCATCACTAATTTTTGTTGACATGTACACACTCGACCGGGAGCCGACTATATAATACTATTTGTTTTGTTTAATGAAAACGGAGAAAATCAAAGAATACACAAAAAAAAACGTCAAACAAGCGTCGAATGTTTGAATAGGAAATAACAACAAAATACACAATTGGGCTCCATTTGCCGAAGATTTGCTATAATAAACTATGAAAACATTTCATTTCCTTTCTCTTTACATTTTTTGTGTTCGTCTTGTTTTTGGGTCGCCGAAGTCAATAATCGACCGACACAACAGTGATAATCAAGTTAAAAATTAAACATATTAATTTTAATGATGTGTTTAAATAATTTTTTAATAAATTCTACGTTGTGATTTAAGCCTGACAGTTCTGAGTTCAAATGAAAAAGTGCGGTCAGATGTTTTTTTTTGTGTGGAAAAATGTCACTAAATAGCCATATGTGAAGCGAATTTAAGATTCATCAAAGCGTTGCTATATGGGGGGAATTTATTTGCAAATCGCGACCGTTTCCGGATATAATATTTGTATCCTTTGCCAGAAATTGTGTGGCATCAAAGATTGCCGTTAGTGCTTCACTTTTCTTGTAAAACCGTCTGGATATTTTCTCTCCTTCTGATGTGATTGCATTTCATTTCTCGAACAAAAAGAAGGAGTAAATGGAGAAATGTCTCCTTTATATGCTTTATTTGCAAAAGTCAACGCACAAATGAATGCCGAAAGAAAAGAAACGACAGAACACCAAAAAAAATACAGCCTAATGACAACAACCTTCCAGTCGAAGGGAAGTGGCCGCGACAAATAACTTATGTGCCGATTTGTCTTCATGCTTAAGCTGTGATGGTGATCAAACAAACCATTTCGATAGATATTTCAGGAGAGAGACACAGAGAATAAAAAAGAGTAAAAAGCGAATGCGCTCATATTGGCATGAATTAGTATGACAACGTGTTGAATATGATCGAATGTCTAGCTGCTGAATGTGTTTGGCCATTGATGCGTGGTGAGCCCAAATAAACATCTACCTTTTTTTTCTATCTATCTCTCTCTCTCTCTCTCAATCTGATGCTGCTATTCCTGATGCTTCGATCGCAACGTCTTTTAAAATGCTAACAAACTTTTAACAAACATAAATCGCTACCGCTTTTTAAAATCCCTTGATGAAAGATGCTTGATGTGCTTGCGCGCCTGACACACTACGGAATACCTGATTCATTTGTATGTTTATTTATTTGTTTTATAATAATAATCTTCAACACAATGACGGCATAACAAATACTCATTTCTGTACATATTGCCATTCACTTAAGGCTTGAACACAGAGTGAGCGAGTGAGGGAGAGAGAGAGAACAGGCGAGAAATCAATTCTTCGGTTGTTGTTCTTCTTTCTTTTTTTTTTGTTTTGTCTCTGTCGCTTTTTGTGTCTTTCGTTTGGCGACATAATGTGTAATGCATACACAACGTAAATGTGCGTTGTCTACATTGGCGATATCGATGAACACCGATTGAAATTGATGAAGAATTATCTGTGTCAATTTCAATAAGCCATATAGTATTGTTGATCAAGCAAAATACTGACGCCAGCCCACACGGGATAATGGAAAACAAATGCGCACTGGTTATTGTGTACACACACATCATGACCATGAGTGGCTGCACAACAACAAAAATTAACAATGAAATAAAAAAAAGAGAAGTAGAAGATGATGAAGAGTGAAAATACAGAGAAAGAGTCAAAAGAAAGGAAAATAAAGAAGAGGGATACATCTATATTTTGTGGCGGGTGTCGATTTATCGTATAAGCGATATTACGCGAACACTCCCAAATGTTGGTGTACATGTGTGTTTTCTTCTTTAAATGCATTTGAAGATATCATTTTGTAAACATTACCTTTATGATATTTACTGTGTTATTTACTCATTTAAAAGTTCAAATAGAGCTACTTATAACCTCAAGTCTAACTGTTCAAATGCCATTAAAAGGTAATGTAAATTAATAATTATTATGCTCATTATTTGCTTTCGAACACGGCTACCTTTCGATGGGGTTTCACTGTTTTTCGAAAATTAGTAAATTAACATGTAGTTTTTTTTTCTCTACTTCTCTTACTCCATTATTTTATCGCTCTTTCCCTATCTCTCTCTCAACTTTTTTTAACACATTCTATTCAAAGTACTTATGTAAATCTTCTAAAAATACAATGTACGTGCTTACCGCACGCAGACTGCCTACATCCTTGAGGTTTTATGGAGGAAAACTAGGAATGCTTCTCTTTTTTTGGTGTGGTTTCTTTCGGTGTCGCATCGATTGATCAATGTCAAGAAGTAGTTAACGTGATATTATCTCCATCCACTTGTTCTGTACAATCAAAGTAATTGCCATAACTGACACCTTTTAATGGGTTTTAAAGCCAATTTTCATTCGATTTTGTTCTGAAAATTTCTCTTATGTGTTAAAGATTAATCTTTGATTTAACTGATAGGTGATTAACTTTCAAATTAAACACTGTTTACTAATAAATATGCTCGAATACGCCGTACATTTAGACTCTCATATAACACCTATATTCGTCCATATTATGCATTACAGTTGTGTGTTTGAAACAATTCAATTTAATATCGAATGAAGAATTTAAAAAAAAATGTTTGAAAACGAAACCAAAAATAGCGGTTTGTACATGTTTTATTTAATGTACTAATTTGATTACAAATCAGTTCAGATCGACACGACAAATTCGTGCTCTTCATTGAATGGATCGTTTACAATACGGAACATCTAATCGCCACTCAACGAAACCGTGTTTTAGTAATTTTCAGTTGATATTGGTAAAAATTTTCGTCATTTTGACCAATTATCAAGAGCGAAAAAATGACACATGTTCGACATGATTTTTCATATCTTTTCTTATTATTCTCTTCGTTTTTTAAGATATGATTTTATTTCATAAGATATCGAAAGCCAATCAACGTTATGAAAAAATCTAAATTAATCCAAAACCATAGATATTCGATATGATTTGTTTCAAAAAATTTTGTTGAATTGGCTCACAAAGTCTTAAAGTCTACATTTCAGATGATAACACAATTCTGCTTAACCATTTTTCACATTGTTTATATGTTGATTTTAAATGTGACCACAAATGAGAAAACGTGAAAACTTTGCGACGCAAATTAATCACATTTACTGAATGAGACTTTACTTAATCAAATCGCATTCGATTGCTCCTTACATTTTCTCATCATGTAATACAAAAAAAAATGAAAATCTCTTGCTGTGTTTTACACGCATGTAATTCACAATTAATTATTCTTTTATTTTTATCTTATATTTTCATAACAAAACAATGGAAAGAAAATACAAACCCAAATCCATTTTGATTTTTCTATCAATTTCGTTCGGCTTTTCAACACTTGAAAAATTTCTTCTCGACCAATTGTTCGGCGACCGTATCGTTTTCGGAATATTAAAAAAAAAATCCGGCAAACACTTATTCCATTCGATCAAGGCGACGATATGTCATTTATTTTCGAGTCTTTTTTCCCTTTTTTTTCTCGTCCAAACAATGTCTATGCAAATTGTTTATGTCACATCAATTATGAATTCACTGGTTTTCTCAAATTTAACTAATATTCAATTCTCAATGAATCATTTAAAATTATTTACTACGAACGTTTTTGTTCACATAAAAAACCGTATCGAGACTCGAGAGAGACAGAGAGAGAGAGAGAATGAAAAATGTAATCAAAATAAAACAAATCACAAAAATTAATTGTTATTTTAATTAAAATTGATAAAAAAATATTTAGTTGATGCTTGATGCTGTGTTGTTGTATGAGTGTGTATTTAATTGTTGGTTTTCGTTGCTTTCGTTTTGTTATCATTTGTAATTAATCGCTGGTGAACCAAAAAATTGTGCGTTCCATTTGATTGAATAATAACATGTATCTGGTTGAAACATAAGGACACAACAATTGATAAACCGATTATTTCTTGTCACTATAGGTCATCGTTAAAATGTTACTTTTGATGTTCACAATCACTCGTTTGCTCTCGTTCTTCTTTTTTTTTCTTCTCTTTTCTTCGCTTTCACTTCGACCGATCAATCCGATTTATTGGCGATTCGTCAAATAAATTCGCTGCCGATAATTTTGTTGCGTATGATCAAACTGTATCTGTTGTTTTCTCTTGTTTCTATCATTTAACTGTGTGTCTACGGTAAATTGAATTGCTTTTTCTCTTGTTGTGCACGACCGTCGATTTTGAATTTCTCATACGTTTCTCTTCATCCAATATTGAAATTAGAAAAATCTCAACAAACACACAACGTATCTCATATGAATGCTGACGCATTTGAACTTCATTCAATACTAAACTGCTCATGGGTCATCTGTATACTATTTTCACTTATCCGAATCTCATTCAAAAGTTCAAAGAGGAACTAGAACCATGCCGCATTAGTTGGTTGGCTGCAATTACATATACACACATTCAAAACATGAACACCAATATTCATAGCAAACGACAAACAGAGACAGATAGAAAACGATGATGAATGAATGAATGAAATAAACATAGGCGTACAATACATGCACGCATACACAATGATGCGCCTTCTTGCGCATTCGAATGAAATTCGTTCTTGCCCACAATGTGTGTTGGTGTTTTCGATCGTTGGCTTGGTTCGGATCGCCTCGCCTCGCCTCGGCTCGTTCGGTTTGTTTCGAACAACCGATTCAATCCGCAACAAATCTTCAGATTCTTCGTTTTTTTTTTCTTCTTCTTCTCATTTCAATATACAACATATTCATTCACTCATATTCGAATTAGTAGTCTTAATGTGATGTGCATGGGTGATCTTATCTTATGTGAAACAAGCATGTGTCGGAAAGGAACTCACACAATGCTTTAGTAAGTTCGATCGATTCGTTCCTTTGCATCATTTAAGTGACACTTTATGAGCACAGGCTTCATCTTTCAATGAATACGACGGCAAATTGATCAATAACCAATGACCCATCAACGATCTCGCATCACTAGATGTATTAAATAGTTTCTACTCATTTTTCTCTGTGTGAAATAAATATGAATATACTATTTCCTGAGTTTTTGATCCGGTTTCATTCCAAATTTCTTGAAAATGATCCGCTAAAAATATTTCGTCCCGCTGAAATTGTTTGTAAATTAGAAAAAAAACTCTTTTGTTGTACCCTTTATTTGTATTGAAGTAAATGATACTTTTGTGCACGAGACCAACGTCATGATCAGCATTACTGTAACAGTTGTCGAATTAATTTTTTTGTACGTTGAAATTGTGAATATTGTCCCAAAATGAAAAAAAAAGTAATTGAATAAAATCGTCATGATCGTATCATCACATATCATAAGATGTGCCTCTGCCTTTTACGTACGTACACCATCGTCGATCGTGTTGAGCGTACAGTGGGCGGAGCCAAACACAAATTATTTGTATGCATATGTGCACGATTGAATGTTAGGCATTTGAACATTTCTTTTTTTTCGACATTCTCTCTTGCTCTCTTTCATCCACCAATTCGATTCGGTAACCAATCTCATTGCAGGCTTCATTTGGTTTGTTACTTGTTTTAAAGTAAAAAAAAGAAGAAGATATATACTTAAATAAAATAAGACAAATCAGCGCGATGATGTGCTACCTCATGCCTCGCCCTCAAGGTAATTTTACGTAGAGAGGAGAAAAAAAACGTGAACTGATCGCTGAATAAAAAGCAGCAAGTAAATGAAACTGTATGATATGAGGATACGGGACGAAATAAACAAGAAGAGGACACCCAATCATATGCCATCCGCGTCAGCGTCAATCAAAAATGCGATTTGGCGACTAGACACTATATTCAATGGCAAAAACTGCAAAGAAACAAACAAAAAGGCCCCAAAATGAAAATGCATCTCCATACTATGGTTTGGCTGCTGCACATGCATTTGTATATATTAAATACAAATTGTAGTAATTAAATGCCCGACGAAAATCGCAATGCGCACAGCATACAAACTATTACGCTCGATTACATAGACCGAGAGAACTCGAAACTTTGTTTAATTACGAACGAATTTAATTCATTTCATTTATTTATTGACACTTAATCACCTTAAACAAAAATACCAATGGATATTGACCAAGTGTGTCAGACATAAATGATGCAAATACCTCAGAATACGAGCTTGCGTCATAAATTGTTAAATTCTTACGAATGATGGTCAATTCTTCTGATTCGAATGATTTTTTTTTTAAATCAAAATGCAAGAAAATATGTTTATCAAAACAAGTATTGATTTCATCAGTATTACACACATTAGCTTTCTATTGGATATAATTCACACTGAATTCACTCTCCGCATCCAAGAACATTTATTTTACAAAGTATGTGCGATTCACAGTTAATTTAGTAAATCTTTTGCCGGCGCTCTGTAGAAAATTGTCTACGAACACAACACATTAGACAGATCTAAATGCATTTTAATTTTCATTCTGGTGAGTTTGCTTGCTTGCTTGCGCTTTTAGTCTCGTGAATTTGATGTTCAACTTGGATTTTATTCCTCTACAAATAAAACGGTTTATACAAAGTGATACGAAAATGGAAGTCTTTTTATTTTCAATGAACAAATAAAATGACTAATTTGGTACCTAATCGAGTGACTATGGTCGGATATTTTTCATGTAAAAAAGTCTGTTAAATCAACAGGATGACATGACAAAAAAAAATTTCTTGTAGTTGTAGATTATCACACAAAAATATATGAATTATGAGATGTATATATAAAATTTGAAATAAATGATTCACCTCAATTCTGTCACTATATGCTTAAATAAGTAAAAAAAAGGTACAGTTGGACTCTGTTAATTCAAACATTTGAATCTCATGATATTCTTTGGAATTATTCGAGTCCCACATAAATATAATTCGAATTTTAGATTTTATTTGGCATTCGCAATTCGACTGTTTCTCCGAGCAATATTTGTGAAGAGAAGCATTCTAAGTAGCCGTAAGAGGATCAGAGCTCCATCTCAATGAGAAACAAAATAATAAAAGTAAATAAAATGAATATAATTATTTTTGATATATTTTTATTTTTAATATTTTGCTCCTCCTGACAAACAGTCTCTGAATAATATTGGACTTTGATGGACCGTATATAGTCAGTTTGATAAAATCTATCTTTCGTATTTGGCCGATTTGAACTTATTCAAATCTCGCTAGTGAATACTAGAAAAACTAGTAAATCTAGTGCGAAGAATGACATCACAAACGAAGCCAATTTCACACCAAAGGCCATATAACATATAACTTATATGAAAAACTTCTTAGAGCCAACTTCACGCACTTGAATTTTCTAGTTTTCTAGTTGAAATCTTATCAAAAACTAGATGCACTAGAATTTCGTGATTGACCCCACGAAGATTCACAAAAGAAACACAATTTAGTTTGTGAAATAAATTGACACATTTAAATGAGACATAAATCAAAAGCGAACACTTTTATAAAACACCTAATTGGCAGGTATTGACGCAGATTTTATCGCAAGATTTTATTTTATATTCTGTAGTTGCTATTGATGTTATTTAAAAAAAAAGACATGCAATTGGTTAATGCTAAATGTAAAGTCGTTCGGTTGAGGATTAATTGCCGAAAGCCAAAATCGAATTGAAACGGGACAAAAATTGGCAAAATCACTTTCATATCGGTCGCATACATGTTTGTGTAGAAAATAAAACAGATTTTGGCCGTTACATCAAATCCATCGTCAGCCAAAACGATACGTCAACAATGTTCACTAGTACAAATGGAACGTGAACAAAATAAGTACATCAACATCAACGCAACGTATGGAATAAATTTGGTCACAAGAAATATCTTTTCCGCGACCATTGCATTCGTATTCAATTTTACGGTTTGATTCGTTATTTCATCTTCACGTCGCTTCGTCGTTGCACTTCATTTTACAATTGCAATGTTTTCTTCTGATGAAATTACGAATCGTAGCCAAAATATTAAATGCATCCATTAATTTAATATGATGGCTAAACCAAACCCAAATAATAAACAGAATACATAATTATGATGAGGGAAAAAATTACCTATTTTCCGCGAGGTTAGATTCTACAAACTTATCGAAAGAGAAATAAAAGAGACAACAACAACAAAACGTCTCATTAGTTCAATTTACGGATAATCCGCAAACCTGAAAATCATACTATATTGATTTCGTGGCTAAATAAACTGAATACTTTGCTTCGGCTTGAGCTCACATATTGGGTACTGTTTTAGAATTGAATGCATTTATTTATTCAAATAATTAAAATCTCACATTCATACTGATGTCATTTCAATTTTGAAATCCATCATCGTTTTTGATTACTCATTTTATAGTTTAGTTTGAATCAAATAAAACAAATCGCTCTGTTTGACTGCATATGCATATTTTTTTTAAATGAACGTTTGCAATATCTCTCGAAAATAATGTAAGAGACAACTCATTTAAATTTGATATTATCTTACAGTTGATAAGAGTGGCGCTCAAAAATATTGCATTTAATCAGTCTAAACACGTGATATGTGTGTTCCGTATCGTGTGAGGCAAAAAGAAGATGATCTTTTAATAAGTAATTAGAAAAATGCACTCATGTGTATTTGTGACAGCTAAAATTGAAGAATAGGCATTTATTTATTTATTTTGTAAGAGTTGCAAAGGAATTGGCCATGATGTAAGTTATCAATTCAAATATGTTGACATAAGCATTAACTAAGAAAAAAACTTCAATGTGCATATTCCATATTTAAAATTGTGTAATTGTTTGGCTTTTGCACCTGTTTTTCGAGCTTATTTTGTTTTAGTTTATTTTTCTTAGAGGACGGTCAACCAAAATCATACACATGCAGATCCATGCAATATGGAACATTTATTTGTTTCTTAAATGTTAAAACAAATATGATTTATTTGAATTATGAATAAATCTTCTCTAAACCGTGCAATTTTAAGTTGTCACGTTTATTCTTTACATATTCCGTTCCAACTGTATACATACAGATCGAACATTCGGGCCACAATTTTAAGTAATACGTTACATATCTATTGAATATATCGAAAAGAGAGTATGTTATTCAGCGCTTATGGCTGAGTAATGTCTGAATAAAAACATACTCTCCTCTCGATATTTTCAATAGATATAGTGTAAGTCATTTGCTTTTTGAATAGGATTTTTTCTATAGCATCATGAAGATTAGAATGTAAATATACAAAAAGTAAACTAATTTAAAACATCGAACACACAATTGTTTAAGAAATCAACTTTTTCAATTTTTTTCAGATTTGAATTGAATTATGCAGTATAGTTGTATAGACGAAATGCAGCATTTTTTCTCATAAAAAAATTAAAATTATAAAATAAAGTAAAAAATGTCATATCCGAATTATGAAAATAAATATTACGGTAAAATGCTGTTGAAATGGAAATCTCTAAATAATAATATCTTGTTATTGGTATTATATTAAAAATATGGAAAGAAATAAATTTACTCTTTTAATTTTTTTTATTACGTTAAGAATATTGTCGTTTTTTCAGATTTCCCTTCATTGGAGAAATGATCGTTTATTCCATGTTCAACACATAAATAAAAAAAAAATTGATAAAAATTGGAAGAGAAATAAAAACGTTTTAAGATTTAAGAGCGTAACGTCGATGATGATTAAAATGGAACGCGTTTTCCCAATTCGAATATTCTGTCCCACTACTACCTCATATGTGCGGTGATTTTATTCCGAGATTTTGTGGTTACTGTATTCCTATGTGTATCGTGTTTGTTTGGGTCGGTGTGTGTATGTATTTTCTGTGGTCTATTTTCAACCATTCTTTTGGTTTTTGCGTTAAATTGATAAATACATTTTTATAGGCATATAAATAAACGGGCCTCTTTTATTCATTTTTTGTGTATTGAGCGTAAAATTAAATTCGAAAATTCGCTTGCAATGGACGGAACATTTGGCATGAAACGTGTGCACCGCACTCTCAATTGCACACTCGAAATAAGTGCAAAGCATGGTGCATGCACTTACACGTGTAATTATAAAAATATATCGTTGCTTTATATGATAAATGCTTTTAAGCATACAGCTATGCCGTAAATAAAACTTGGATAGATTTTGAATGCATATCCTATCCCCGTTCTCTTCTCTTCACATCATCGTTTTTTCTCAGCATCGCAATTCCTTATGTTCATTTAATCCAGTAGATTTTTTCATAATCCATGACATATAAAAAAATTTTCATACGAACATCATTTGTCATTCGAATTTGTTTGTGAGATAGTAACACATGACAAATTATATTAATTTATACAATTTATTAAATGTTTTATTATCATAAAATACGATGTAATGGTTAATAGTTTTTTTTTCTACAAAGATGTGCGAATGGTGTTTTATTTTTTAAATTGTTAACACAGTTCGGAATTAATCGAATTAATTGTGATTAAGAACAAAAACGCAAACTTATACTTATTGATTAGAAAATTAATCTATGAATATTCGTTTTGCTATATCATCAATCAACCAGTCAATTGATGCTAAGAGCTTCTCGCCAGTTACTGCGCTTACTCCCACCACACTCCAATGATGCGTTTCAATCTTATCTAATTCCAAAATCTGAATGAAAGAGAAGTAATGACATGAAATTAAGTTAAAATTCAGTCGATGCGAAAAATGTAAATAAAACTTACATCTTTAATATCCTTCGATGATAAAGCACCAGGCACGTCTTGTTTGTTTGCTAAAACTAAAAGTGTGGCACCGGCCAAACGCTCTTCTTGCAGCAAATTATTTAATTCATCTTTGCAATTTGTTAATCTCATCTTGTCGGCACTGTCTACCACCCACACCAAACCATCGGTACTCTCGAAATAATTACGCCAGTATGATCGCAACGACTTCTGACCACCGACATCCCAAAAATTGAGCGTGTAACCGCGATGCTCCAGTGTATTGATATTGAAACCCAGTGTTGGTTCAATTGCGTCAATGTCTTCGCCATTCAAGCGCTTTAAAATTGTTGTTTTTCCAGCATTATCCAAACCACTGAAATTCAATAAAATATTCAATGAACTATTATTACAATTTTCTCTATCGTTTTCATGCGAACAAATTCGAACATTGCCATTTTTCAGCCGCAAATATGAAGCCAATTTTAACAGATGGTCAAAGAGAATCTATTGCGACGGCAAATCGGATAAACAATTTTTTCTTAAATATTCAAGTTTGATTTGAAATTTGACTTACAGCAAAAGAACCCTCATTTCTTTCTCTTTTTGTCTCATTTTCTTAAGAACTGTTAGAAATCCCATTGTTAAATGTAAATAGTTTTGAGTTTGTTTTGCTTGAAATCGATGTTTTATTTACTCAGTTATTCATCAATCACCTCTATGACACAGCTACCAACAAACGAATAATTGTCAGATGATTCAGTTCCATTGGGCTAGTTTAATGCAGTTTTAGAAAACGTTCGTTTGAAATATGTTTCTTTGTACATTTTCAAATAAGAAGAATTATTGACATTTTGAGTAAAAATTAAAAAAATATATATATATATATTTTTCGCTCGTTTTGACAAAGGAAAATACAAATTAAAAAATATATATATATATATATATTTTAAATCATTTTCAAAGCTCTTAAACGCTCATGTACTAAAAAAATCCATTTGATTACTAAACCGATGTCATTGGACGCACTCAGTGAAACGATTTCAATGACATCTTTTCAACTGACATTTGTATCGTAGAAGAAAAATCTGGTGTGTAGTCTTCACGCGAAAAAGAAAATTCTGGCATATAGTTTCGATAATTTCGCAGTCAAAATGAATTCAGTCAAGGTAATAAATATATTTTTGAATGAAATCCGATTTAAATGTTAAAAGTGTTATTTTGTTTCAATCGCAAATGAAAGAATTTTCATAAGATTTGGAAATAAAGTTTGACATTCCATAAAAATATTTACGTTTTATCTTACGTAATATGCGTAATATTGAAAATGTGAAACTATAATTGTATATTTTTTTATTGTTCGTTGTTCATTTAATTGATTTTAATTTCTAATCAATTTCAAGAATGTATGCCGTGTCGGCCAGATGTCGATCCGTAATTTACGCCAAATGTCGACCGGTAAAAAAACCATTGTCGAAATTGAACAAGAACGAGAAAAGGATCTCCCAAAAGATCTTCATCCAATGTTCTACAAACTTAAAGCCGACCAAAAATTGTATCAAGTATGTACACATTTATCTAACTTTAAGTCAATGACAGCGATTTTAAAAAATATAACTTTTTTTCACTCATTTTACAGAAACCAGACGGTATTCCAATCCATTTCAAACGGGGGGCTCGCGACAAAATCTTATATTACATTACCTTGTCGTTGGTTGGCGTTGGCTTGGTTGGGTGTGCAGAATTCGTCTACAGCTTACCATAGATTTCCTTATAGAAACAACATTGAAGTAGTCAGTTTGTTAAAATCATAATTCCTTCAGTGAAAATAAAGAATTACAAAAAAAAACTACACAGATTGCTTATTTTCGTGCAAAAATCCATATTCATAAGGAAATTATCTTTGATCGTTTCATTAATTCCATTACTTGGTTAAAAAAAAACTCAAACAACTTTGATCAATACAAAAAAAAATGATTTTGTAACAGAGTTCTTATGGATTTACAACTTTCTGTCATTTTTAGTCTTTTTTGTTTTATTATAATCAAGACGTGTATACCGTTCAAAATGAAATAAAACAACACAAATACCAGCGTTCGCAACTCCGACCGAGCTCCGACGCCGACCGACCGCCGACTCTGCGGACGGTCGGTATCGGATTTAATAATCTCAGCGTCGGTCGGCGTCGGATTTAATAGTCTCGGCTTCAGTCGGCTTCGGAGTTGAAAAGTCGCCTCCGTTGCGAACTCTGACAAATATATTGAAAAAATCTATGAGAAAATAGTCCCGTTTATAAACACGATGTTATTTTATAAATATTTATTTTTTTGACAAAATGTATTCCATGTTCAGAATTATGGGAACAATTTTTTGTTTCGTTAAACTTTTTTTTCTTTTCAACTAGATACACTGAAAAAATGTACCATCTTTTTTTAAACAATTAGTAACTATGAAAAAGCAGACTTTTGTATTGAAATGATCATAAAAAAATTGCAACAATTCCGTATTTTGTGAGTGTGATTATTCGATATAAGAGTCGATGATTTTCAGTAAGCATTGTTTGGTTGACTCTTTTTCCAAATTACACACTGTTCGCAGATCAATTTGTGAGATTTTTTCGATGAGCTCCTTAATTTTCTCTTTTTTTATGATATGTTTGATGTTTGATTTAATGCTCTGTTTATTTGCGGCAATAATGTCCGTTCGATCATTCGCCAGCACTTTGGTTGTCTTAAAATGATAATGCCTTTCAATAAGCCGTCTCAGTTTATGTTTGGTTTCTGTCGTTGGTCTCTTTAAATCAGTTTCGATGATATTATTTTGCTCATCATCGTCGTTCATTGCGTTTGTATCATCTATGGTGTCATCAAATTCGGATACATTTTCGTCATCATAATCATTTGCTTCCATGCTATTCAGCAATGTATCTTTCTTCGTTTCGATTGTGTCCAATTCATTTTGATATTCAGTGCGGGTTTTTTTATTTTCAACATGTTCTCTATCAATATTTTGATTATTGTCATTTGTTTCGATTTGCGGTGGAATTATGCCATGTTTTCGACGTAAAATGATAATACATGGACGTGTTTTAATTTTAATTGGAAACACTGATCGATATTCAACGCCAATATTACTAAAGCAATTGACTGTATCGATAACATCGTATGTATGTCGAATATCCTCATTTTCATAATAATATTTTCCTTTTTGTTCGATCAATAAATGTGTAAATTGTTGCAATTTCGGATCGTCGATTTTCAAATTTTCCTCTTTGTTGTAGCTGAAATACACACAACAACAACAAAAAAAAATTGAATAAACAAAAATCGAATTAAAAATGTGCCTGTAAAAATAAACTCACGTCCAAGATTTGTTAAGCTCTGTGAAACGTGTGACGCCACTTTGTGCTGCCAAATTGCAAATATGTACGGAAACATTTTCGGTATTGGATGCGTATCGATGTAACCTATGTGAATAATTATGAATTTCATTGAAAAGTCCATTATCGAAATGAATTTTATGAATTATTATTAATGGAACAAACCTCATCATGGCCATGCCACCTGGATAATTGGTACCCGAAATGAGCAGTAAAAATAGTGTCAATAAAATGTTTATACAAATGTGTCCGGCCGCACCAAATGCAAGTAATTTTTGAAAAAGCGATTTGAAACGATTGTTCCAAAATCGTTGGCATGCACAAGCGGCCGCAATATTCAATAATGGAAATACATAAATGATAAATCGAAGCTCTTTGTGTGGTAAAATCGAATAAATAAAAACAAAAACAATCGATGGTATCACAATTTGTCGAATGCGTCTCTCATAATATAGTCCAAATGGCACGAAGAATAGTGATGCGCCCATTGATCGCGGCAATGCCGAATAAAAATACCAGAAAAATGGTGAAACACCATAATCAGCACTTTTATTCAGTATTGTATTAAACCATAATACTTCACCCTCCGGCCAAAGTAAACGCTGCCAAAATATTGAATCCACAACAATGGTTGACGCTAGACTAATTACTCCAGCTGGTACTGCATATTTAATTAATCTGAAAATAATTGAACGAAATTATATTAATCGATTTGATGTGAACCATAATAAAAATTCAAACAACTCAATTGGATGTTATTATTTAGTCGAAATAAAATTAACACGAATAATAACGTTCAAACAGAATGAAGCGCAAACAAATTTTTCTACAAATTTTAAAATTATTTTATTGGTTTTGTAAGGTGTTCGGTTTGTGTCCATTTTATTATGATTCTCGAAAAAATTCATTCAATTGGACAAAATGGAATATTCTCTATTCGATATTGATTTGGGCAATTTTTTCATATTTTTATCCAACAAGTGGTTTGAGTGTTGTCGCACATTTGAGTCCATTGGTTGTGATTGCATTCTTTTATTTGGCAATGACCACCATAACCATTGTATTTACGATGCAATGTTGGCATGTCAAACAATTAACCATTCTTATGAATGACACAAAGTATTTGTTTGATCAATTGTTACCATTTTATGGTTCGATTTCAACTGGACAAACAATACGATATGGCATTTTGTTTGTCGGTAAAATTTTCATTACAAGTGGCATTGCACAGATGGCAACAATCAATTGTTGTTCAATTTTATGCAAAACAATGATGGGTCGAGTGGATTATTTTGTCATTTTTATTGTATCGGTGGCATATTTTCTTCAAACGCTCGTTCCAAATATGTTTTATATATTTATTTTGGGCATTTCAATGCAATACCATCAATTGAACGGTGAAATTCAAAAAATTACCAATCAAAATAATTTTCTCATGAAAAATAATTGTGCAAATGATCTGTTCGATAAATTGAGTAAACGATTGAATTATATCACTTCATTGCATGGCAAATTGACCGAACACTCGATAAAGGTGAATAAAATATTTTCATGGCAATTACTTGTGATGGTCACCAATTTTGTTGCCATTCTACTGATTGAAGTGAGTTTGATTGACATTATTTATAAATTTCATCAATTTATAAATTATTTAATCGATTTTTCTCTCTCTCTCTCTCTCTCTCAACACATAAGTTATTCCTTACTTATTTATTCCTTGCCGAATCCTATCAAACCAATTCACCATTGAATTCAGCTTTGATGATAAACATTCTTGCATATTGTGGAGCTGTTTTTATTGAATTACATCTGTTGAATACAGTTTGTTTCAATGCAATGCAAAAGGTAATTTTTTATTCCTCTCAAAAGTAAATCCTGCTTAAAAATGTATTTATTTATTTTTTCAGTTCAACCGTGGTGCAAATATATTGTACGAAACTTTACCTTTTGCATTACATACGGAATACAAACGAATTGTAAATTGTGTATACTAGATATTTGAAATGTAAAAAAAATTGAAAAAAATTCTATTTTTAGGTAGATATGTTTTCACTTCAAATAAGAGGTTATCCGTTGGTTATCACAGCTCATGGATTTTTTCCATTGGACAAAACATTGACTTATTCTGTATGAATATTTAAAATTGTTATCACCAAATTGAATTGATAACAACAGTGCATTTTTAGGCGTTGACAACTCTAACTGGTTACTTATTAATTTTGATTCAATTTCAATTGGCGAAAACACGGGCTCTCTTCCAAGATGATGATAATAATAGTAATATATTAAAATCCGTTTGAGTTGATAAAAAACAAAATGTCCAAACTCACTCAGGTATTGAAATGCGTTGAAATGAAATGTCGTACAATAGAAAAAGTCCCAACAGTATCGATAGTTCGGCTCGGAAAATGAGTATGGCTGCCGCTGACATATAAATAAATAATGCCTTTTTTCGCTCCAACCAAAATGCAATTGCAAGCAACACTGTAGAAGAAATAATTTTAAAATTTCAATTTCCGTTTGTTTGTAGAATCACATCCATACCTAACGGAAGTGCAAATACGTTGGGTAGCGTTCGGCTCATATAAAACATGAAATGAAATTGGGTAATTGTGATCAATGTAAACCAAACCGAAAATAATGAGCCAACCATTCGTTGAACAACTCGTTGTAATTTACACCATGATAATACAACGCACGTGGCCAATGTCAATCGAACTGGAACACAATTAAAATAATAATTATTATTTACACTCTCGTCTCTCGCTACCTCTTTCTCTCCTCTGTATGTGTATTTTATGGAATAAATAAATGTTGATCAAAAATTTACCGATATATTGTGCCCAGAATTTATTCCCTTCAAAAATATGTAGAAAGAAAACTAATGGACTAGCCAATGTCGACACAAGCAATGGACCAAGAAATGTTCGCGGCACAACACCAGGAAATTCATGATGATCATACTGAAATTTGAAATCAATGTTGTTGTTGTGTTTTTTTTTTATGTAAGAATTTTGTTTGTTTGTTTATTATTACCTGAGATATATTCGTTCTATGGTATAAGATGTCGTGTATCGCTTGAACATTAAAACTTTCTTCAACTTTTGTGAATGGCGTGTACAATAGATGAACAATCGCAATAAAAAAGACTAAAACACCCATATGGCTGGCTTATAATAAAATCTAATCTGGCTGCGTATGTCAGGAATTTCGGATTCACTATTCGCTATCTCATTAGATTCAGGGGATGACAGCTCAAATATTTTAGCCATATAGAAATAGATGTCTTGCTCAATTAATCCATTTGATGTGTGCGTTTCAACACTCGACTACATCGACGAGATCATAAATAGAAAAAAATAATTAAAAATTTCTGCAGTTCGATTTCGTTTTGCGTCAAACCAATTTATTGACAAATTCAAATTTGCTTACGTTTATTGTTCAGATGATGATGATAAAAATTACAAATTTAATACAAAATAAAGCCGGCAATAGATATATTCATATTCGCAATAGCAGCAGTAATAGGCGAGAACAAAAAAAACTGCTCTCAATTTATGTGTAGTTTGACCAACTAGAATCGGTTTTTGTAATATTAGCTGGTTAAATTTAGAATGGCATACAGTCAAACGAACGTATCGACTATAACCGAAGAAGAATGCATGCAAAATCTATACAAACAGCTGATTTTAATTTGACAGACTGTATTTACATGCCAATCGAAATCGACGTGAAGTGAGCAACAATCCACGTGGTAACATGTATGAATATGAGATACTGAAGAGATGAACAATCTAAATAATTTGATTGACAGTACTAATAATATACGTTGTTCAAATCGGTGTCAATTTTAATTGCGCCCGCCATCTATGTGTAGATAATGAAACTCCCGTTTAAAAAGCAGTCAAGTTATTGAATTGCCGAAAAGCAAACTATTTTTTTTTTTAAATATTGATATAAACGTAGCAGATTTATAATTTGGATTGGTGTTGTGTTTTCACTTGAGGATCTGTTTATTTCACAGTTTGAGCCATTCACAAAAAAGAGTCGAAAAGAAAGAACATTCATCATTTTCGTTTTCGATCAGGTTGAAATCAGCAGTATAAAATGAATAATGATTTTATAAAATATTGTGATATAAGAAGATTATTTTTTCTTATAAATTTTAACCTTTTTTTCAAGAATTTCAAATGGTAACCGGTCTCGCATTTCCTATGTTCCTATTTTCTAATGAATTCAAATAAAAAACCGTATTCAAATCGATTTAACGAAAGTAAACGTTCTAATATGCAAATTCATAAGAATAAAACTCAATATTCAAATGATCTGAATGGCCAAATGCTCATTTGGTATTCGAATCGAATGACTTCAACCTATGCTCAATACATATACACCAATTGATGGGAAAATAAATGTAATATTTATTTGTTTAAACAAAAATGCTCAAACAGCATGTCTGTTTTTGTTCATTGCATGGGGTTGACATTGTATGTTATGAGTATTGTGCAAAAAAACAGGTAATAAATCATTGAATTATATAATTATTTAACAAACTAACTAAAAAAAAGGTATTCACTAAACGTGAATAGTTTGAATACATCATCTCTTTTGCTCTTTTTCAATGATCTGGAAACCGAATCGTATTATCATAAATGGTGGTCGATTGATCCGTTTTACTTGCGTTAAGCGTGTCGATCACAGCCGTTGTTTCGAATGGAATACTGTTTGAGCTAAAAAATGGAAAGTGATTGGCGGCGATGGTTGACGATGAATATATTGAACTTGACATTGTTGATTCGAATTGAGTTGGCACCGTTGACGTTGACGATGTCAACGATGACAATTCGGTTGATATGGTCGGTGAAATCTCATTAAAATACGGTAATGTTGAAACGATTGGATTTGGCGTTGGACCAAATATCATGTTTACAGTTTTAATATTTGAATGAAGTTTTTTTGAATCAAATGCTACCATATCGTTGTATTCGGCCGATTTATCTGAATTGTCCGTATGTTCCGATGATTGTTGTGATGAATTTGCATCGTTTACATCGAATGGATGTTGAAGTGCATTGATTTTAATTGCTGAAAATGGTGGTATATAGGTATGCCGTGATGGTCGAATTTCAATTTCACTAATTGGTTTTGTTGCATTTTCGCGTTCTAAACGCTTCCACGTTGAATGATCATGTTTCATTGAATTCAATGATGGTGTCAACAGCAATGGTGACACTGATGATGAAACCGCCGTTGATGTCGAATTATTATCGGTGTGAATTATTTCGACGTTACGTGAATGATATTTTTTTCGATCTGGATATAGATTTAAATGAACTGTTATTTGACTTGGACTGTCTTCCGTTGTCAAATCGGATATTGGCATTGACGGTGATGGTTTTGAAAGTGTTCGATAAACATTTGTATTCATGCGATTTGTTATGTAATTTCGATAAAAACCATCATTTGCGATAAATGGTTGTGTTCGATACGGTGAATATTGTTGTATTTGTGGAAATTTTAAATGACTATAGAACGAGTTTTCTTTCCCATACTGTAAATTATGATTTATCGAATGTGAATTGACCGGTTGAAATGGTCGTCGATATTGATTGTATGGTATTATCCGTGTTGGGATTGTTGCCTGTATGGATGAATCAAATGTCGTTTCCTCGGGCATCGGATACACGTCTAACATTAAACTGAATGGTTTATTTGATTTTGTTGTTGACGCTTTTTCAAAGCGACCATTTCGAATGGTGGCATCACGATTTTTATTATTTGCCGCAATAATTTGATGATAAATTATGTTCGGATCGCGACTACCATAATAATCCTCATAATAATTATTCAATGTCATTGGTGTTGTTAATGGACGTGGTTTATGGTGTGTGTATTGTTTAAATTTCATATTATTGTTAGATGCCAATAAATTGACGTCGCCTGGTTTCGATGGTTTAAATTTAGAAAATGGATCATTCTTTTGATGCACATTTTCATCATAGACTGTTGAACTATGTTGTCCACTTTCCATTGTACTCATATGATCATGTTTTTTCTTTTTTTCACGACGATAAATACCTTCCACTTTCATTCGCCGTGAAAATGGTAACGATGGTGCAACATATGTGATTTCTTCACTAAAACCTTCCGGTTCATTATGATTTAAAATATCCTGAATGCTGTTCACATTTTGTACCGGATCGATATAATCAAAATTTTCATCATTATCATCGGTTGCAATGTCATCGGAGTAAAATATCCGTTTTTGTGGTGTTGTTGTATCGAATATTGATTTTCGATACAAATCATGAACACTATTTGGTCCAATTTTATTGCGATAAACATTGCTATAGTGTCGTTTGTGATTGAATGGATGCCATGTATTTGCTGTTGGAATTATTTTTATCGATCTATCTTCAGCATCGTCATGTTCAACAAATGAAACAAGTCCGTTCTCATTGTTTGACACTTGATTTTTACCAGTCATTGGTGTCGTACTTGAGATTGTGTGTTGATACGAAGATATTTGATCGTCCGGATAAAACACAGTTGTTAATGGATTCGAATAATTTGGTTCAATTGCATCCGTTTCTGGTTTATCATCCGAAAATAACATTCGATCCGTTTCATTGTAGCTACTCATGTAAACACCAATGTAAAATATCTGCATTGAGATGAAAATAATTTATTACATCTTTTGTTTCAATTATGATATGCATTTGAACTTACTAAGAGAGCGAGAAATAATGTGGTGCCCAATGAAAAAATAATACGCAATACTAGTCGGTTTCGTCGCTCGTATTCAACTCTTTTTGGTGATGTTGCACTTTCATACCTAGAACAAATTGAAATTTATTACAAAAAGGTCACACTTGATTCCGTTGGATCAATTCTCTTACCGATATAATCCAAATTGCGATATCCAATCATTTCGATAGCTTTTCGTTGAATATGTTACATCAGAGGACATATTGTTGTTTCCTTGTACTAAATATCAAATTGGTAAATCTTGTTTTATAAATAAACAAAACACAAACACAAAAATTGTAACGGGATTCTGATGAGATTTAGAAATTGATTAAAGCGTTTGGTTGATTTGTCGTCTGATATTTTGTAAACATATTTAGGTCTTTGCACATTGCTCGACAGTCGAACACTGGCACACAATGTTTTTTTCACCAAAACCAAATCGAAAATCCAATTACATCGCGTATGAAATCGTTTAGCTCAATTTTTGCATTTACGCGAAACATTTATATATATAGAAATAAACCACACGAAATCTGTGTGTATCATTTATAACATGGATCGGCTGGTTTGTTTTCCCATTTTTGGCATGCAAACCAAATGAAATTGGTTGTAAAGAGACTGTGGATTTGTGTGTGTGTATGCTTGAAGAGATGTAAAAAGACAAACGATTGCGTTGAAATACATTTTCTAGTCATTATGCTTACAGAAGCATGAAGTCATCTAAGTACGACGGAAAAAGCACACACACACACATGTTAACATACAAAACAGCAAAAATATTAAAAGAAAAACCGAAATAAAATCTATACAAAACAATGATTTTGTATGCAGCAAAGAAAGAGAGGAGTGCGCGCTCAATTGGCAGGCATACGTAGATGGGTAGCACGAAAATTGCGCGCTTACATCCGAAAAGTGGCTGTGTTTTGTATGTTGTCATTGTTTTCGCATCGATGAATGAAACAGTATGACTTCCACTCTTGAGAGTGTGAAGAGAGTATGTTAAAAACTCCAGCTATTCTAGTTTTTTTTTATATAAATGGAATGAAACCAATCTGTGTCCAACAATATGCGCCCGAATAAAAGTGAGTTGAAGCTTATTGTTTATTGATGTATACATGCTTGAAAAAAAAAACGAAAAATTAAAGAAAGAGAAAGAGCGAGAGAGGGAGAGGGAGAGAGAGAGAGAAGATACACAATAACAACAAAGAAAACAGTAGGCACTTTACGCGATGAATTGAAATTGTGTGTAAGTGAGCATCAAGTGGAACGAATTTAAAGCGCGTCCAAAGTATTGTCTTAAGAAACGGCAATTTCAGCGTTAAATTACATATTTGGCACACAGCCTTTTATAATTAGATCACTTTAACAGAATATACTGACACATTAAAGAGACACGAGCAATGTGCGAGCGCGATTGTGCATGTCCACTCATTTAACAATTTTACATTGGCATTATTAACAACGGTACATCGGTAAAACATAAAATACAGAATAATATCATCGCTGTCGAATTGAAACCACAACAGACGAACGAAATAAAATAAAATAAAATAACATTTTGTATGAATGATTACAAGAGATTATGTCTCATCCCAACTTGATACAGCCGATGCCGTCCGATATAATTATATCTCTTTCAATCAAATTTTATTTAGTGTTAAATGACTACATTTTCAAGTTGATTTTATATTTTGTTGTTATCCATTCAACACTGCGCATAATTATCTCCAATTAGAAATGGAATCACATCGTAATCTAATACAATCATTTCGATATACAATAGCGAAGAAGAAGAAAAAGAAGAAGATGAAAGAAAAATGGGTTTTTGTATCACCAATTCATAAATGGTCCGCTTGTTGTTCGTGCACGCATTCATTCATTTCAATGTTTCAATTGTGTTTTTAGCTTTCCAAAATCACGTGAAACACTATTTATTCCACCTGATGTGAACAATCGACGAAAATTACCCGACACTTTGGCATCAAATATGTATGCGACAAGCATAAGTTTGTTCACCTTCAACTGCCTCTTTTCTGACCAATATTTCGATAGTCCGATTCTTTGACGGGTCAATGCAACACTTTTCAGTCACATTTCAGTTGAATCCACAAATTTGATATTTAATCTTAACATTTGGTTTTGTGCACGATATGTTAAGCTTATTGTGCATTTATTTGTTGTATATTGTCTATTCACACGCTATGCCGGCTGTTGATGTCCCTTTTTTTGACAAAATAAATTGCGACAACAAAGGCCAATAGTGGAATAAAAAAAAAACTTGTTTGAAAATGCAAATCATTCATCTTTAGCGGCACATAGAGATAACATATAGTTTTTGTGTTAAGACTTTACCCGAATTGAACATATTTGGTGTTGAATGTGTGCACTTCCGTGCCACCCAATTTTGATGTTTACTTTGATTTCGTTTTCGTTGATCGTAGAGATAAATGTTTATTGCAATTCGTCATTCGAAAAATACTTATTTCCACATCGTAAAGACTTTGGGTGTATACCATTTTATGAACTTTATGTGCTCAATTGGTTGTGATTTGGTGTCAAATTATAACCAGATAAAAAAACCAACAGACAAAATCGACCAGACTATGACTCCAAAAATGGTCATCGACCGACAATTGGACTACACAATATTAATCGCGATGTACAATAGAATTCGAACTTTGTTTACTCCTTGTCTATGGTATGCTATGTCTAAAGAGTGTAAGTACATTAATGATGATCATTGAAAAGTCAAATGGTCTGCAGTGAAGTATCAACAATCAAACAAACTCTGAATGAATAGACAAAAATGAAATATTGAGTCACTCAGTCTATTATCGAAGAACATTCCATTTTTTATATATTTTCATCACGTCAGCGATTTTAAAACAAAAAATACGCATTGTCTTGTTCGATTTGTAGAAAAAAAAATCTGTCAACAAAATGTCTCCAAGAGAAATATCGACGATCATATGTTTGAAAAATGAAATAGAATATAATATATTCATAGTTTATCCAGGCATGGTGATTTTTCAATGACTATGTTATCGATTTGAAAAAAGCACATTTTGCTATTCTTATATATTGCATATTAAATTAATAAATGCAATTCAATATATTATTTGCCAATTACTCAATCTCTTGCCATCTATCTTTCTCAAATTTAAATGTTATATCACCGGAATTCAGATGTCGCAGAACAATCTATTTTTTGCGGAACTTCACGTTTATTTATAATATTCAATCGTCAACTGGATTGATTTAATTAAGTTAATTTTATTTTAATACTATTGCTAACCTAATTTCAACAAAGCTTAAATGCGTTTGCTGAAGTCATTTTTTGATATTCTGGTTTCTTCCTCGATCTGCTGAAAAAAAACACAATATTTTTAATTTATTCAAATTACTGGATTCGGCAAGCGGCCGGCATCGTCGCAAAAAACAAAACATAAACACGTTATAGTGCGGTCCATCTGGTGATACTTTAATTGGTGTTTGATTAAATGATTTGAATCCGCTTGACAGGTTATACTTTTATCTAGGGGCTTTTATCTTCAAATATATACAATTTATAATGCAAATAGTGAACTATATTGCAAAATCATCTGTAATACGTCAAATAAATGCGCATAACTGTACATATTTGGTGTATATTTCGTGTATATTTCGTCTATGGCATGTTTTTTCATTCTCTTTTGTGCGGATCTTCTTCGATTCTGTGTAGCTATTCTGTGTGTTTGCTACACTGCAGTTTAAAAACCACCTTATTCACTGGTATAGGCAAGAAATTTTAATCTTATATATGATGAATAGGACGTGAATATTGTGTATAAATTTGTATGAACGACTGATGGAAGCCCCTAGACTTTTATTTGTTATTCATCACTGCTGATGGGAAAAAATTCTGTCATATACATACATATATTTTAGCAACATTGATGCAGGTGTTTAGATGTTTTTTGTTATTTATGTTGATATCTAGGTGAAGTTCATGTCGGCAAAATATGTTTATAAATAAAGAATTTGTGCGTGCCCAAGGACATCCCTCGACCGGTAAAATAATTTATTCTGGAGTGGATTAGACATTGATTTACATAATATGTTAACTTTGCTAAATTGCCACAACATCAAAACTTTCAATTCAAACTCAATGGCAAACAATTTTTTTTTTGAATATGTCCATGTTACACAAACATTTGTACGCATTTTACGCAACGTTATGTAAAAACACAAACATTTACCGAATTCGTGATGTCAAATTAAAAAAACACTAATTAGTTCGTTTTGGTTGTGAAGACCATTATTACCAGGGTAATTTTAGAAGTATCGAATTGCTCTATAAGTCGATTAATGTTGATTATTTTTTTACGAGGGTTGCTCCATAATTTTTTTTAAAAACATATATAACACAGTTGTTTTTTGTCGAAAATGGTTTTATTGTTTTTCAAAATATTCCCCGAGATGATCGATACACTTTTGCATTCGATGAAACCATTTGTCATAGCATTCGTGCCACTCCGAAACTGATATCTCCAAAACGTGTGTTTTGAACGCTTCAACTGCTTCTTCTGGTGTCGAAAATCGTTGACCACGTAGTTTTTTCTTCACGCTTGGGAACAAAAAAAAGTCATTGGGTGCCAGGTCAGGACTGTACGGTGGATGACCCATCAGTTCGATGTTTTGACCGGTCAAAAATCGAGTAGTTTGAAAAGATGTGTGAGAGCTCGCATTATCGTGATGAAGAATTATTTTGCGACGGTGGTTGTTTTTTCTTATTTCACCAAACACTTCGGGCAAACAAATGGTGGTATACCAATCAGAATTGACGGTCTTACGATCCTCTAGTGGAACGGTTGCCACATGACCACTTCTCCCGAAAAAACAGGCGACCATTCGCTTCGAAGTGCTTCTTGCTCGAACAACTTTCGTTGGGTTATCTTCATTTTGGAAGACCCATACAGTCGACTGCTGTTTCGTTTCGGGCTCATAGGCATATATCCACGATTCGTCACCAGTGACGATTTTATTAACGTCTTTTGAAGCACCACGATTGAATTTCTTGAGCATTTCTTTACACCAACTCACACGAGCCATTTTTTGTTCATCGGTCAATTTATGTGGGATCCAACGAGAGCAAATCTTTTTTACGGCTAAATGTTCATGCAAAATTGTATGTATGCTGTGGGATGAAATGCCCAAAGATGCCTCAATCTCACGGTAGGTCACATGACGATCTTCCATAATCAGTTTTCTGACAGCATCGATGTTTTGTGGCACAACAGCCGATTTTGGACGACCTGTATGAAACTCGTCTTTGAGCGAACTACGACCGCAACGGAATTCTCGGTACCAGTTATAAATTGTCTGAAGGGTTGGTGCTTCATTGCCAAAGGCCAAATGAAGTCGATCGAAACACTGTTGTTGAGATAATTTACTTCGAAAATCGTAGTAAATCATTTTACGAAAATCTTCACGTGTAAAATTCATTTTTTTGTTGAGTCGCAGTTTACCAGTCACTGTAAACAATACAAATAGCGTTCGTACGACAAAAGGTTCAGGGCACGAATACATACCAAAACATCAAACTTTACGAATATGACAATGGTTTACATCGGGCAACACTATAAGTACCATTTTAAAAAAAATTATGGAGCAACCTACGTAAACTCAAACTATTCTCAAATCTAATCAGTCGATTAATTTGGCACTCAAATCATCTAAAGTAAAAATTAACTATAATAAATTTTGATGTACGAGATAATCATAAATAATATATTTTGACAGTCGAAAAAGTTTGAAAATACCGGTCAATTTCCGGTTGTAAAAGTATATATTTTTTTATAGCTCACATAAACTAATATGGGCCAAGCTTTTGATAGATGGTTGATTGATAAAAGGATCACGCTATTGAGCGAGGAATCCCGATTGAAACGTATACGGGATAATAGCTTGTTTGAAGTCATTATGCCAGTAAATACACATCAACTAATGTACACCGATCTTATCTATGTATCTAGGAAGTTCTGCTGACTTACTATGAGTCACTCATACGCATCTTCCTCGGTATCCACATCTGCTTCGTCTTGATTTTGGTCGAAATAAATATTTTCCCTTATTTATTGCAACTTAGGGCTTTCGGTCATTGCCATCAAATCACCCGTCATAACCTCTGTGCCATCCACCAAAACTCGTGTATGACCATTATCCATGTTTCGGAGGAAAAAGAGTTGATCTTGTCCGAACAAAAATTCTCCAAGATCGCTAGAAACATTCAGATCTGAGACTTTGATATTGTTTGTTTCATTCCGTTCAAGAAATGTTATGGCAATTGATGTTATTTGCAATTGTTGAATGATTGATGAGTGACGAGCTAAGCATTATCAATGATGCTCTCGCTTATGAAGAATTTGCGTAACATATTGTCAAGACTTTCATCCTCGCGTAAATTCCTTTCTATATTTTCAATGTCTGAAAATTTATAAGCATTGATAAGCGTATTGTTGTTGAATTGGTGCTCTTCCCAAAATGATGTGTCCGAGTTCAAAATTAAAAAAAAATACAATATTTTATATTTCTATTGAATATATTTGCTTTTTATTTTTATGTTTTTGCTTATGTTTTCATTTAAGACTTTTTTCCAAATACATATCATAGTTCTGTTTTATATCTCATTCCAATTTTGTTCCTATGTCAGCTCCATTATTGAAGCAAAACCATGTTGATCTAAATCAAATTATTTAGAAATGGTTTAGTAGTTTGGGTTTCTGTAGTTGTATCCCTCTGATGCGGAGTAGCTAGCAGCAGCTGGAAATGCGAAAATGACATGTTTTTTAAATAAATAATCATAATCAATTGACGTATTTTGAATTTTCCAATGATGTCCATTGATTAGATATTGAAATCTATTTAAAGAAATCTAAGAAATAGATAGATTTTTTACCGTGATGGGCAACTGGTGCTGGGGCATGGTAGGCAGGTGCTGGAGCATGGTATTGAGGAGCAGGAGCATGGTAGGCAGGTGCTATTTTAAGAAATGGTTTGATTTAGTTTGACAAAAATGGCAAATGTTTTGATAATGATTAATAATTTGTTAGCGTTTGGAAAATTGTGCATTGTGCAATTTTAATAGGGATACCTGGTGCATGGTGGACTGGAGCAG